TTCAGGAACACAGTTGGGAAAATCAACAATAAGAAAACCCACAGGTATCAAGGGTTGTGGCTTTTAGGTGAGGTCCTCTTGGGTGGAAATCCCCACATCCCCTATCCCGAGTGGGATGCCCCGTCTGATGCCCGGCTGCGGCGGGCAGAGCTGCCCTTGTGCACCCAGCACTGTGAATAAAGTAATGCTGCTCGCTAATGTAAACATAAAGTTTCATTTATCCCGAGGTTTTTGGTGATAAAGTTTCATTTATCCCGAGGTTTTTGGTGATAAAGTTTCATTTATCCCGAGGTTTTCGGTGCCAGCGTCACCCTGAGGAATGGGCCCCGTGTCCCAGGCACTGGCTGCTGCGGGAGCGCTGCCGCGGAGCCGAGCTGGCTGTGGAGCTGCTGCTCTCCTGGGCTGCCTGGCGGGATGCGGCAGCCTGGCACTGTCCCCAGGGCTCCGGAGCACTGTGGGGACACGTCTGCCCACTGGAGAGGGCAGCTGGCACCACTTGGCCCCGAACTGCCTTCAGCAGTGGGCGCTGAGGCCCGGCCTCAAGTCTGGGGGCTGCACGGGGTCCCAGCTCTACCCCGGGGGGGCCGTGGCAGGGGGGGACACAGGCGGGGGAGGGCAGGGAGAGGTCCCGGCACCGCTGTTATCCCCGGCTCGGCTCTCCTAAGCCGCAGGGCCAGAACGTGGCGGCCGTCCCGTGCCACCAGCACTGCCCAGCGATGCCCACGGACACAGTGCCCGGCCAGGAGCAGGGAGGGACGAGTCCTCCGAGCCGCCAGGGGGCGCACAGCCGCTGCCGCCATGCCGTGTACTTCCGCGGCGGGCCGGAAGTGCCGGCCCTTTCTCGGCCGAGCGCAGCCATGGTGAGGGCGCGGTGGCGCGGCTTCCCGCCGCCATCCGCCGCCATCCCCCTCTCCCCGCGGGCTGCGGCCACCCTCCCTGGGCGACAAGCGCGGGAGGGAGCCCGGCGCCAGGGGCCGGGGGGTGGCGGTCGGAGGGGGCCGGGGAGGGCTGGCTGGAGGGGCTGGGCCTGGCGCCCATAACTCAGCTCTTACCGCGTCCCGTCCTGCAGGCCCGCGGCCCCAAGAAGCACCTGAAGCGCGTGGCGGCACCCAAGCACTGGATGCTGGACAAGCTGACGGGCGTCTTCGTGAGTGCGGGCCTGGCTTGGGGTTAAAGCTGGGGCCGGGCCTGGGTTTGAGGTTGAGACTGGGGTCGGAGGTGGAGCCCGGGGTTGTGGCAGCCGCAGTCACATCGGGGAAGAGCAGGGGTGGATGGACATGGCGGGAGGTGTTTGTTTAACGTTAGGGTCTTTGTGAATAGCGTTCTTGTTTCCCTTTTTGGAGAGGATGTGATGGGTTGTTGGATGTTCTATTTTAATATGCTTGTTGTGCTTTTCCACATCTGGGTTGAGATGGATAGTTGTGCTCTGTTGGGGGCTGTGCTCTGTTTGTGAGGCTGGCAAGACACGGGGGAAACTACTGTGAATACCAAGAACGGAGCTTTAGCCGGTCGCTGCCTGTGTGGCGGCTGCCGTTTGTGCTGCTGCCCTTCCGTGCTCTTGTGGGAGCTGTTGGCGCCTTGGTTTCCTTCTCTGGGGTGGAAGCCTCCAGCAGAAACCTTCTGTCGGCAGGCTCCCCGTCCATCAACGGGCCCGCACAAACTGAGGGAGTGCCTTCCCCTCATCATCTTCCTGCGCAACCGGCTGAAGTATGCTCTGACCGGAGATGAGGTCAAGAAGATCTGCATGCAGAGGTTCATCAAAATAGACGGCAAAGTCCGCACCGACATCACCTACCCTGCGGGCTTCATGGGTGAGGAGGGTTGGGGCGATTCCTTAGGCAGCTCTTCCACATTGGCAGGGGAGTGTTTTGTGGGGCTGCCATTATTTGAGGGGTAAGGTTTCCCTGCTGGAGTTGAAGAAAAGATATGTATAAGGAGTTGTTACTAAGTTTGGGATTGTGCACTGCAGTGAATACCATAGTCAGACTTGTAACCTGCAAGTGCCTGCTTGACCTGGGTATATTGCTGTTCAGATTCCAGCCTTCAGCAGTTTTTGCTAATTTGTAGTCTGTCACTGCAAAATATGCGAGCCTGTGCTCAAGGGTAGATCCCAACCTCATCAATCACACCCTAAATGTTTTTCAGCAGTTTCTGTGTCTTTTTAAATGTGAGCTTGATCCCAAGTTGGGGTCCTGGGTAATGAGCTGATAACAGCTGCTGTTCTGTTTCCCTGTCTGCTATCAGATGTGATCAGCATTGAGAAGACAGGTGAGCATTTCCGCCTGGTGTATGACACCAAGGGCCGGTTTGCTGTTCACCGCATCACTCCTGAGGAGGCCAAGGTGAGGAGCTTCGATGTGCTGTAACGGTGGGCCCGGTTGGGTTGGTTGGGGAGTGCTTCCTCTTGGTATCTCCTGAATGAGAGCTGGTGTTTCTCTTCCCTGACAGTTAAAGCCATGCTGCAGCTGAGATTGGGGCGCTCAGGGTTGTGGTGAAGCCTGTGTCGGGGGGAGATCTCTTTGTTACAAAGAAGTAGTTCACAGATGGGTGTAAGAGCATTGTCTGGTGCTGGAGATGATGCTGTTGGCATGGGCTGGATTAGAGACTTTTGGGGTGGAGGAGAGTCGTGGCTTTGCCAGCTAACAGTGACTAGAAACATGGAAGTGTCTGTGGTGTAAAAGCCTTGAACTTCTTCCCAGAACAACAAAACTGCATATTGGCCCTGGATGCTGGGGAGCAACTTCCTCATGCATTCCCTTAACCCAGGCATGGCATACCTCAGCTGCAAGGCTGCACTCTGGTTTGCATCTCCTTCTTTAAGGCAGGCTGTGCAGGCATGCAGCTGTGCAGATGGCAGAGCTGGCTGTGCTGGAGCCAGCTTTGCTGTGGTTCTCCTTGTAATGGGCTTCTCTGATGAATATGTGTTGATCTGTGAGGTCCAGAGAGGCTATGAGGGGGTTAGGGTGATAGGCAGGAGGGAAATCAGTGCTCTGGAGGGGACAGATCTCTCTTTGGTCCTGGAGAAATGCAGCTTCTATCTCTGCTGTGTGCCATGGGCTTTGTGAAAACATAAGGGCATTGTCCTGGTGAAGACTTTACTGTGAAAGTGCAGCCAATGTTTTGTGGGGAGGCTGAAGCTCAAGGTGGGCTGCTGCTCCTACAGCAAATGTATTTTCAGGTGGGGCTATAGCAGAGCTGCATGGCAGCTGTTCAAAAGTAGTTACTGAGGCAGGGAGCTGGATAAGTCACTCCGTGGGCTCATGCTGTAAGTCCTGAGTGTCTGGGTGTTCTGCTGGCTGGTGGCTCTTTGGAGTACAAGAGTTCCCTAGTCCATGGTATTGCTCACTGCCTCAGCTTAGAGGTGTTGGGTTTTGTTTGCAGTACAAGCTGTGCAAGGTGAGGAAGATCTTTGTGGGCACCAAAGGAATCCCTCACTTGGTCACTCATGATGCCCGCACTATCCGCTATCCAGACCCCCTCATCAAGGTGAATGACACGGTCCAGATTGACCTGGAGACAGGCAAGATCACAGACTTCATCAAGTTTGACACAGGTAGGTCTTGCATGCCGTTAAAGCGCTGTACCCTTCCCCACCGTGGAGAGCAGTCTGGAAGTTAAATGCTAGGCATATTTGCACTGGAGCAGAGGCAGTGGTGTCAGCCTTGTGAAGGAGTTTGTTTCCCAGCAGCATGCCCAGCTCCACCTGGAGCTGGAATGGGGGGATTCTTCCTGTGTCCTGGCAGTGGGAAGCATTTGGCAGGGACTTGGCAGTTGTGAGGCACCAGGTAGAAGCAGTGAGCTGGTGGCAGGTGCTTCAGCTTGTCTCTTGGTGGGGACAGACAGTTTCAGTCACAGAGATGTGAGCAGTGCTAGCGTGGTGGGATGGGAATGTTTGCTATGGGCAGGGAGCCCAAGTGGAAGGACTTCACAGCATGTGGTGCCAGCTCTTGTCACACCTGTATTCCCTTCCTCAGGTAACCTGTGCATGGTGACCGGCGGTGCCAACTTGGGCCGTATTGGGGTGATCACCAACCGGGAGAGGCACCCCGGCTCGTTTGACGTGGTTCATGTGAAGGACGCCAACGGCAACAGCTTTGCCACCAGGCTGTCCAACATCTTCGTTATTGGCAAAGTAAGGCCCGGGGCACCAGGTGGGGGGTTCTCTCCTCTTGTGAGGGGTTGCTGACTGAGGCAGAGACCTTGGTGTTTCCTTGGGCAGCTGTCTTCCCACACAGTGGAGCTCTGACTTGGCTCCCTGTATTTTTCCCTGCTCTGGGAAGGGAAAGAAACATTTCCATCTTAAGGAATGACTATGTTTTCAAGAAGCATCCCTGAAACCTGAGAGCTGGGGCCTGAGTGGTGCTGATTTTAGCAGCCGCTGTGAGTCCGAGTGCCCCCCACAAAGCCTCTGCTGTTCTGCCATCCCTGACAGGCTCTTTGTCTGGGTTATGGAGGGGTGGGCAGTGTTTGGTTTTGGCTGAAGCACATTCTTCAGGGATGTGACTGAAGGGCAGCTGTAGACCTGTGCATCCTTTGCACCTTCCTTAGGGGCCTCTGCTGTGCCAGTGCCATCACCATGTGTACCTGACCCAGCATGAGCAGGGGTGGGCTTCAGCTGCTTTCCCCCTTAGAGGGAGAGCTGTGTTGCTGTCTGGGTTTCCTGATGTGGTCTCTTCTCTCTTGCTGCAGGGTAACAAGCCATGGATCTCCTTGCCCCGTGGAAAGGGCATCCGCCTGACCATTGCTGAAGAGCGGGACAAGAGACTGGCGGCCAAGCAGAGCAGCGGATAAAGGCCAGCTCAGGCTGGGCTTTATGGCTGGCTCTGGTGCTGTCAGTGTGTTAATTAAACTGTTTACTACATGGCTGTGACTGCTAAGGAGCGTTCTGGGGCTAGGGTGGGGAGCCATGCTGCCGGTGCCAGGCTCTGCTCCTTGGAAAGTCCTGCTTCTCTGGGGAGACTCCCGTCAATCTGAGCAACTACCACAGCCTTATTCCAGAAAGGCAAGTAGGAAGGGTAGGAGAACCTTCAGACCTGCTCTGTGTGTCCCTGGGAAGGTGTTGGCACAAATGCTCCTGGATGTGCAGGAGGAGCAGGGCTATGGGGAGAGCTGGCTGGGGTCTCCTTTAGCCAGTGGTGCCAGGTCGGTCTGAGGGACTACCCCAGCTGTGTTGGCTTCAAGGGTGTTGGCACAAGTGTGGCTGGTGGCCATGCACTGGGGAGATCCCTCAGGGTCTGCTCTTCCAAGTCTTCTCTGTGGAGTTGGAGGGTACAAGTGATCAGCTCCCCGGGACTAAGCGGGAGGGGAATGGGCTGCTGGGGACGCTGAGCACCAGCCTGGCCTGCAGGAGCCGGGAGCTGAGGGCTGGTGGCTTTGGGAATGGCTCTGGAGGACGAGGTGGGCTGGTGTGAGCAGTGCCCAGTCAGGAAGGACAGCTGCACAGCTGGGCTGTGCCAGCAAAGGTGCAGGAGGCACTGTGGGGAAGGGGAGGCTGTGCCTGGGCATGGTGTGCAGACTGGGGCCGCCAGGTCCGGGCAGGTGTGGGTGCTGTGGGGCGATGCCAGTGGAGAAGCTGGAGTGATGGAGGTGTAGAAGAGGCTGAGAGCACAACCTCTGCTCTGCTCAGCCTGGGGAAGAGCAGTCCTGGGGCTTCTGCCACTGCCTGCCTGCATCAGCCGTGTGAGCACCTGTCTTCCAAGATGGATGGGGCACAGATGTGCATGATTGCAAAATGGGCTTCTTGGGGTGTCCATGGTGTAGTTGAGCCTTGTGAAGTGTCTGCAGCACCTGTATTCTGACGTTGCACTCAGGAAAGCTGAATGCTACTGGCACTGCCCATGCTCCCATCCCTCGAGTGTTTCTGTTCCTGTGGATGCTGTGCAGGCTCAGAGCAGCAACATCTCCAGGGGCTTTTAAGGTGCTGGCAGTGGGTGCTGGTGCTTGGGCATGTGAGCAGCCAGAAATGTGGGGAAAATCCCCACATGTTCATGCACAGAGCCAAAAGCAAACACCACTTAGTTTTTATGTTGTGAAAAAGCTTTAGAAAATTGCCAAATTGAATATTTGGGAAAATAAAACCCAATTGTTATACTAGCAAAAACTCCAAAATGGCAATGAAACCAGCAATTGGGAAAATCTGTGGTGAAATGTTTGCAGTTTGGGCGTGGGCGTTGCAATCGGTTATCCAGCGTGGGTCGGCCAGGTTAGGTTGCTTCGTGTGGGTTATTCCAAATGAGCTGTTTGCTGAGCATTACGGCGGGTGGATCTGGTGTTTGTATCTCTGTGTGTTTGCCGTGCATCCATCTCCCGCCTCGCAGAGTGTCCTTTCCGCGCTCCCGGCTGTGACCCGCGCTCTGTCCCCGGGCCGGGCCGGGCCGGGCGGCGCCACCGTCCGCTCAGGGGCTGCTCTCGCTCCCTGCTGCCACCCGAACTGCCGAACTGCCGGTAAACAGCTGAGCCCGCTCCGGTAAAGGCTCCGCTGCCGTCCCGCGGGGCCGCGGCGGGAGCTGCTCCCGGTAAAGGCTCCGCTGCCGTCCCGCGGGCACGATGTCGGTGGCGCTCGGAGTGCAAAGCGCGGAGCTGCGGCGCCGCTGCCGCCCGACCTTTGGGTGCCCCTGGTGCCCGCTCGGTGCTCGGGAGCGGCGAGGCGGAGCGCTGGGCGTGAGCCCGCCGGTGGCAGCGGCAGATGAGGGATGCGGCGGCGGTGAGATGACAGAAAGTCTCAGCGAGTGCGGAAGAGCCGCCCGGGATGGCGGGGAAGAAGCTGCAGCCCACCCGCCGCGGCTCCCTGCCCGGGCCAGGAGCTGAGCGTCTCTCCGTGTCGCCAGAGCTCCCCTGAGCCTCTCCACCGACCCTGCTCGCCCTGTGCCGCTGCCCCAGCTCAGCATCGCCCTGAAACTTGCCCTGTGTCCACTGGCCGCCCCCAGCGGCAGGGTGGCCGTCGAGGTGCCCCTGCAGAAGGAGGGCTTTGTGCAAGGTATCTGCAGTAATAACAGTCGCTGCTGCTTCTTTCCCTCTGCCAGAGCCCGCAACTGAGCGTCTAAGTGTCCATTCTTCCCCAAAGCATCCCCAGGCGATGCCAGTGACTGCACCCGCCTGGGGCTTGCGTCGGTCGTTAGTGTTATAGATACATATTATAATATTGCCTTTTCGAAAATATTTAAATGGATTCTTTACGTGTGATGTTAAAATAACTTTGTTATAAAGATACAGTTTTAATTTTTCTTGTTCATTAAGCTTAGTGAAATAGCTAATATAAGTATGCTTGTACTAAAATGCCTGCTTGGATGGGATAATATCCAGTGAACATAGGATGAGGACACCTGCTACAGATACACCTACCAACTGCTAAAAACGGGAGCACACTCTCGGTACTAAAATGATTTCAGCATTTATTATAAAGGCCTAAAGCAAGGGGGCCCGGGGGCTGGGCAGGAGCGTTCCCGTCGAGGATGCTGCAGCGCCGGCTCTGCTGAGCAGCGATGTCCCCGATGTTCCAGGTGGAGCGGCACAGGTTCCGTGGGTTAGAAACCCCCTTTTTATCCTGTTTTTTGTTCCTTTGGATTGGTTTATTTTTGGATCCTTCATTTGCATGAAGGTTTAAGGCTCTTGATTGGCCCATTGCTGTTCTGTCCAGGCTGGCTCGTTTTGTTTGTGGTTGTGCGCTTTATTTATGTGTAATACGGCACGTTCAGTACCGTATTTATTAAAACTTTTAAAAGGGGTTAAACTTTTAACCCCTTTTACAATATAATAACTAAACTAACAATGCACGTTTATCAATTACTAACTATTTTACAACACTTTTTAACCTACTTTTGACAAAGCCAACACTAGCACAGTGCAGAAATGGGTTTTCTCTGTGGCTGGCATGGACTTGTATCTGATAAAACCCTCTCTTGGACTTGTATCTGATAAAAACCTCTCTCTTTGCTCCTGAGCTGAGCACTTGTTCTGCTTGCAGCCTGTTCTACAGCGAGAGCTCATTGCAATGGTAATAGCGGGAGTGGGTGGTGTGAACACACTTGTGAATACTAGTCTGGGAAGGCGGATTGTTATTTAGGGTTGCTCAGTGGCAAAAACAGAAGAGAAAACCTTCATGTTGGTATTTACCATCATCACTACCCACCTAACGATTCTTGGGGGTGTTGCCACAAACAGACGCGTTCCGCTGTTGCCAGGAGCCCCTCACACCTGGAGCGCAGCTGGGACGCGCTTCTCGCACTCCCGGAGGTTCCCGTTGTTCCCGGAGGCTCCCGTTGTTCCCGGAGGTTCCCTCAGGCTCCGCCGGCTCCATGGCGTGGCTGGGGCGCTCCGAGGCGGCAGAACAGACCCTCCTGGTGGGGAACTTGGAGAGCCGGGTCAGGGAGGAGATCCTCTACGAGCTCTTCCTGCAGGTAGCAGACAGGTGCCCTTATACATGGAAATGCTGTTCTAATGCTCGAGAAGAAAAGTTGGAGCAGTGGGATGTTCAGTTAGGAAAGCCGGACAACATGCTCAGCAGAGCTGTCTCTCCTTCAAACCCCGACCTTTCAGTGACACTCCACAAACACACGGTAGTTGGACCTGTTTGAAGCCGGAGCTGAATTCCTGTTTTCAACATTAACCAGCAGTCTGCTGGATAACTGTAAACGTGAGCTGAAGAAATTTATCTTCTTAGAGGACATGGGTAGTACAAGACAAAATGTAAAAGTGATAAAGATGGTCTTAGAACACACTTTTGCATAATTCTTCTGCATAATATTCAGCAGCCATCCAACTGCCGGCTTTTATCTGGGTCTTTAGGTCATTCCAGTAACTTGTCTTTTTCCCTTGTTTTATCTTGTTTTCATTCCCTTTTGTTGTAACAGCCTGTGCTTCTCTTGCCCTGTCTTTGAAAATATCCAGTTCAATATTCCTGCATAGTCCTGAACATGCACCCTCTAGCTCTTCCCTCCATCAAATGATGAGCAAGTATCTACTGCTCCTCCTAAACTATTAATATTTTTATTTATGAACTGGAAGGAGCTTTTGCTATGGAGTCAGTGAATTAGTCTTCCCCTTTGAGAAGCTAATTATTATGGTATGGTATTCTAAAAATAATAAAAATTCTGGTTATGAAAGATTAAACATGAGTTGATGCTTGGTTCCCTTTTAACATTTCTGGAGCTGATTTTTGTTTGTAGAAGGCTCAGAAGCTTTGGGACTGTGGAGAGACATTTTCAAAGTAAGAAACTTACAGTTTCTGATTATGGCTGAAGAGAAATAATTAAATATTCAAAACACATGAAGTTTCTGCTAAAGAATAGAAATTTCTTTCAGGCTGGACCGTTAACCAAAGTGATGATTTGTGAGGACAAAGAAGGAAAACCTGAGTCTTTTGGATATGTCTGCTTCAAACACAAAGTATCGGTGCCTTATGCAAAAGCTCTGCTGGACGGAATCCATTTGTATGGGAGGCCAATTACTGTGCAGTATTGGAAAGGTAAGTTTCATAGTCCCAATGGTAAAGTTTAAGTGTAAATATTTAAACTTTTTTAAGAACAGTTTTGAATCCTAAAGCCTTTTACAAAGATAACATTTTGTAGTTGGAAAAACTTTTTTTTTTTGTTAAGAAACAAGGATTCCTGTGGCTTTTGCATGGGGAAGGATTCAGTCCTTGTGATTTTTTGTTTACTAAGAGAATACAATAGATTGATTCAGAACATCATAACTTGCAAGCTGTGTGTGTTCCAACAGACACTGCTGTGTGGAAAAACAGTAATCCATGTTTTTGTGCCAGATTACATTTAGGAATTGGGGTGTAACTTTACCTTGCAGTCTGACAGAAAAAATCGATTCAGTATGGTCAGCCACTACTGTGCTCTTGGATAATTTTTAGACTAAAGCCACAGAGTTATCAGTGCTTTTGTTTTAAAGGGAAGAGACTGTAGTTCAAAGAATATATTATATTCTTCATTTTATGTATATGGAACTAACCCTTTGAGCAAGCCAACAATCAGACATCATTTGCAACCCAGACATTAAGGACTCTGTGCCACTGCTTCTTTCAAAGGCTCCACAGAGCAGTTGCTGGGTTTAAGCAGAATATCTGTGGTTCCTAAAATCAGAAGCATCTCCTGTGTCTGTAATGGGGTGACGATATTGTTCTTAATTACTTCAACAGCCCTGATTCGTGCTTCTGTAAGTGAATAAATGAGAAATGAACATTTTCAAGCTGTAAGATGATGCTATTGATTATCTGCCATAAAATGGCACCATACCTTTGTATACTACCTGAGATCTACTAGCAGACTACAGATGACACAAAACACTTTCTGTGGCTTTTAACTGGTTAATTGAATTGTCATAACTGAATAGTCATTATGCTCTTGTCTTATTTCCAGGGAGTTTTCACTCACCAGAATTAGACAGTTGTGCAAATGATTTTGAACACCATATTGACTTAGAGTCTCCTGCAGACAGGTAAAAAGGATCACCTGTGAATGAACCTTATGATTATAATTTTTAAAAATTGTATAAAGACAATGAGTTGATGTAATAGAGCAATCTTGAGGTTTTTCATCAAAACAGCATCTTGTCATTGCATCCTTACTGAGGGCTTGCAGTTAATTTCAATGTTTGGTTGTTTAGCTTGCCAGATGATTAGTTAGCTTCAATTTCCCATACTTTATTTGTTTCTGCAATATTCAGGATAATGAGAACCCTGGGTTTTGTACTGACCAGGGGTAATGTTTTCAGTCGCTGGGGAACAAAATCTGACAAGTCTTTTTTTTAACTGCATTTTTTGTGTATATAAGCACAAGCAGCTGTCATGTACGTGTGAATGCACAGTTATAAACCTGTTATAATGGAAGCTTGAACACCTCAGATTCAGTATTTAAACTGAACTCCCATGGTGAAATCTAGTACCCTTTTGTGCATGCACATTGGAGGATTGCTCATTAATTAAGCCTTTGGGTAGATTTAATATCTTTTATCTTTATTTTTCATGTAAGTCCTGTTGCTAATATCTCAATTGTCTTCTTGGACATTCCCATTACAGCCCAAGAGTTAAGTCTCAGTGCTCTGATCAGCAGTATGTGGTGGACATTCAGCCTTTGTACATTGGCTTGTTTTTCCTTTAGGAATCAAGAGCTTTCTGGAAATTCTCTATTTCCTGTTACTCCTTTGCCAGTGAACAACAGTTTACTTCATGATGACCCTGGCTTTCAAGAGGTGGTGAGTTTGTGTTAGAAGTTAAAAATTTGGGAGCGTTTTTATGAAGCTGAATGCATTTTGCATTTCTGCACAAAACAGTGCTTGCTTTAGGTCTCAAAATGTGCTATAACACAGAATTAGGATACTTCAGGATCCTCTAATAACAGGGTCTACCAAACCAAACTATTCTTTTCCTGCAAGAATATCTTAAAGATATATAGCTTAAGAAAGCTAAAAAAGGTGAAGCCTATGAAGCTCTCTCCAAATGGTGGGACAAGTTGACCTCATTGATTCCAACCATGCAAACAACAGCTTCTTCACATACACTTAATAGGGAAACATCTTAGTTCTTCTTCTCAATTCAGAAATGCCCAGCAGAAGTTTAAAATGCACTAAAACCTAATCTAAAACTCAATCAATCACCAGTGCCCAACTTCGGGAAACAACAGTTTGAGGGTTTCTGGCCTAAACCTTTACATGCCTGTTTAGGTCTCCCCTTTATGATTTACTTTCACAGCAGTAGGTGACCAGAACCCACACTTCACTTCCTCTCTACAAGACTCTGGTGCATCAGACCAATATCACCCTAATCTCTTCTGTCTGAGATATTCCGCAAAGCAAGGAAACTGGTCTCTTCAGGTGAAAATCTGTTCATCAAACCCACTCCCCAAACACATCCTGAAGCTTCTGATGAGTCTGTGGACTGGTAGGACTGAAGAAACCCAGCCTTTAATGTGAGGTACCAACTGTGGACAGCGCTCACCGAGTCTGGCTGGGGACTGGCCAGCCCTTGGAACTGCAGAAGGGGGTTTGGATCAAATTGTTGGCTGCAATTTGAGCAGGAAAATGGAGAGCATCTATTCCCCCTCTATGGGTGGGGGCCTGCCTTCCCATCTTCCCAGGCTGTGCCCTGAGAAGAGCTGGACCTGGCATGAATTTTCCCATCTCCTCTGCTCCATTTGAAGGCTCAGCTGCACCATCTCACCCTCAGTGCTGTTGAACCTGCTCCTCAGTACCAGGGCAGCACACCAGCACACACAGCAACCAACTCCATCCCATTTCCTGCTTGCCACAGAGGATGGCATTGCAGGGGGTCTCACACCATAGTTTGTTGAAGCTGCAGCAGAAAGTGATCCCATCACGAGTACGCCTTAACAAATCTGCCCCACCTTACCTTGGCAGGTTGCCAGGCAGGTTGCTCACTTGGGAATCTTTCAATGTCCTTTCCTTGTTGGAATTTTTTGTTCCACATCAACTTTCAAATTCATTAAACCAGGTTTGAAGAACTTGCAGATGTGCATGCCTTTACAGTACCAACAGGCACTGCAGTTACAAATATTTATCAAACAGAGATGAAGAAATTAAAGGAAAACGATGCTTGTTTTCCTTATGTGAGGACTAGCTGCCAATTTAGCCTTAAATCAGGTTGTCTCTGTTCTAACTTTGCCATGAAAAACTTGTCTACTTTTCTGAACTATACTAGTTGTCATAAAATAGCTTTATTCTCAAACATTCTGTGTTGTTTTATAGTTGGTCTTTTAATTGTATTAGTCATAATGCCTGCAAAATGAAGTTCTTTAAAATTTCCTCTTCACAATGTAAACAGCTCAAATTTCTATTTCTCTAAATGTACCATGTTCTGCCATAGCAGTATATAGTACAGAGCCCAATGGGTTAACAATTTCTTTATTAGCAGTACCTTCAGACTTATCCTTTTCTCCCTGTCAGAATCAAACTGCACAATTCAAGACTGCACAGTCACCCTGAATTGGCCACATCCAACAGACTGTGAACTGCACCAAGCAGGATGAAAGAGAGAGAAAATGGCAAAGCTGTGACAATTATGAGTACTGCAGATAATAAAAGGAGACAAAGACAGTGTGGCCAAAACTAATCCTCAATAAAAGGCATTGGTTTGAGGTATACTCACAGAATAGTTCGTTGGTGGTTGGAAAGGAGCTTTGGGGATCATCCACTCCAGTCCCCCTCCAATGCAGGGTCAACTGGATGTGACACAGGAACGTGTCCAGGTAGGTTTTTGTCTTGAATGTGTCTGAGAAGGAGACTCCACAACCCCTCTGGGAAGTTATCCCAGTGCTCTGCCACCCTCAGTGTAAAGAAGTTCTTCCTCATGTTAAGGTAAATTTGGTTGTTCACTAGCACTGAATTCAAAGGCTGTCAGCTTGTGTAGCTATTTATACTTATAAGTAGGTAATCAGAATAACAGAATAACCACCGGTTTATAACAAGCAAGAGAGTTTATTTTATTGATTTTTTTTTGGTAGCAGTAGAAGGACCACATTTTTGTAACATTTTTTCAAGAATGGTTCAGTTCTTGTGACTTTAATACACAAGGAAATAATTCTGCATTTAACAAAAATATGAAACAAATAATTGCTAATTGTGTGGAAGACCTGCCTTGCACTGTTGCAGCTATCCTTACTCTTAAAATAATCTAAGCCTAATATAAAAAAAACTCCAAACCCAGGAATAAACCATAACAAATTGTTTACCACTAAAATCTACAGAAACATTACCTGAGCAAACCACTTTGATAAAAATAACAGCTATTTTTTGTCAACTGCTTCACAAAAATGGATAAAAATGTGATGGTATACTGCAAAGCATGAAAATCAACACTAAAAGGCTTTGTTATTTTTATTTCTGTGCAAAATGTTAAATGGCTGAAACAAATTATAAACATGCCATCCCTAGAATTAAAAAAAAAAAACAAACAAACCAAACCAAAACAAATTAAATTATTAGATGGTGTATTAAGTGCAAAAGCTGCTCCACATGCCTAGATCTAGCTTTGGCTTCAATTTGGATTGAAGGAATGTGTAGAAATGCATCTCCTTTTTTCCTTATGAGAACAGCCAGGCACTGGAACAGGTTGTGCAGAGCAGTTAAGCAGTGCCTGTCCTTGGAAGTTCTCAGAGGAGGCTGGATACAGCCCTGAGTAACATAACACCTAATCCTGGACTAAAAACTACCTGAGGCCACTTCTACCAGGAACGATTGCACTCTGACAGAGCATTGTGACAGAACTACTCTTAGTAAGAATCTACAAGCATTTCTGTTTGAAGGTTCACCATCACTCATTTCCTTCAACAAAATGCTCTCAATTGGTATCTGATAATTTACAAGCTTGCATTTGAAACCAAAGTTCGTTGGGATGAAGTTAGATTGTTAATCAAGTGTTGAGAGCCTGAAGTATGATTCAACAAGGACCTTAAAAAGAAACAGACTAAAAAATGTATAAAACTTTATACCTGGACATCAAGCATCTTTTTCATATACACTTTACATTAAATATACTATAAGAATGATACAGATCTCATTTTTGATGAACCATCAAGTGTATCTTTACACAGGGAGCAGGAACTTTAAGAGGCAGATGTCCCTTTCCTGCCTCCTAATCCCTTCTGCATTCCTGCAGGACTGAACGCAGAGCACTGAGGGCTGCCACAGTCACCGTGAGCTTCCCAATCACTGCACTGGCATCCTGGGAATCAAAAACTACAAAGGAAACATCAGACAACAGCATCAGCTATTCAACTTCAGATTTCACTTTTGTTTTGATAATTTTCTTTAGTGTTTGGACAGATTAAAGGGCAACTAGCATATGGTAAAAAAAAAAAAGGGAGAAATAAATAAAATAATCTTGCAGTTCATGTCCTCAGGCTACTGGAAATTAATCACTCCTAGAACTAGAATATATATCAATAAAAGTATTAGTGTTAAAATTAATTTAGAAAGGAAACTAGCAATATAATAATTGTATAAATGAAATAATTATTTTTCACAATATGTAAATAAAGATATTCCAAATTCTATTAAACACATATCTACATACATAGGAATAGTTTTAAGTAAAAATACACCAATTAATGCTTTTTCTACACTGTGTGTGATGGATGGGTCCAAATCAGCCCCAACAAATCACTCAGTGAACTGTCAACTTCAAGAGCAGACTTCAGGGGACTGTATCCTTTTAGAGCAGGAAAATTATAGTTAATTAGATCAGAAGATAACACTAATTCTGTTTTCTCACTTTTTATACTGTCCTGTTATCTCTGAGACATACTGTTAGATGTTTTGCCTATAATATTTTTCACCCATCTTCTTGCTTATCCATTCACTTAATTGCTTCAAAATTCACATAAACTACTTTGACACAATCAACAATGAAAAAAACAAAATATGAGAAAAATATATGGTTGCAATCCTCAAAAAGAATACAGGAAGTTTGGTATCTAACTTAAGAATGACTTTATCTTCATGCAGTAGTGTCCTATGAAATTCCCTTGTCTAGGTTTATTATTTTTCCTTAAACCAATATCCAACTCAGAGAACATGTACAACACTACTCAGCAATTCTGTTTATTGTGCCCTTACATTTAATTGACATCTGTGTTCAGATCTGAAGAACTGATCCTTTTACAATTATTTCATTTAAGAAAATATACAGATATATTATTTTTCCACAATCTGACATATTTTAACATAAAATTAATTTAAATTCTCTGAAACATCTTAATTTTCAGAAAATATAGAATTTTCTATGTTATGGATGCAATAAAAATCCTCCCAAAACTGTACAGCATATGCAGGAAAGGGGAGAAGTGCAGAAGGGAAAAAGAATAAAAGTATTTCTAACTATTATTATCATTTTCATATATATAATTAATGTAAAGTAAAAATTAGTTTAGATATCTGGCAACTAGGGGAAGAAATGCTCCTCACACATTGAAGTAGCTGTCATTACATGGTAATGATTAGCTTACAGTAACTAGTAATAAAACCCAGTCCTAATAATTCTATCAGATGATTAGGAATTTTAAGAGTTTTGTGGAAAGTGACTTTCAAGAATTTTGTTTACATAACTAATCAATCTTATCAAATGGGAATTATGACAGTGGGAGGTATGGTCATAAATTCCAGAACAAAAATCAATCTTCCAGTGCGAGATTACAAAATACATTTGTGGAGGAGCTTTTGTACTTGGAGAAAAATTATTGGTGGAGAAAAGCTTAAGTTGTTCAGCCACAGCAGGAAATGCATCAAATCTCTATATTATTCTTCCAGAGTATGGAAATTTGATGATTTTTAGAATTTTCCTTATCACGTTCCTGTAAATTTGAGTATTTTAGCAACAGTGTGGATGCAGACAGAATTATAGCAGTGGACATTGGCTCGAAAGTCATTAGGATTTATAAACTCATTTCTGTGAGGTGAGAATGCTGTTTGGTTTGGGGTTTTTAAAAAAAACTTTAATGAATATTACTAATATATAGTTTTTGCAGAATTTTGCAAACAAACATGGAAGTTATTAGTTAGTATTCAAGAATTTCTTATTGAAACAATGTCAAACAATTACTTGCACAGTAACACCTCGCCTGCAAAGCAATGTAGAAATTCAACAAATTTTAGGCTACAGAAGTTTACAAGAAAGTGATCTTTAAAACTTACCATCAATATCTTGCTCAATGATATCTCTTTGCTTCTGGAATATCTCTTTTAAACTGACATAAGCAAAACCAATATCCTCACATTCAAGATCTTGCTCATCTTCTGGGGGATCACTGACCACTGTAAATTTTAGGCTAAACACGCACAAAAAAAAAAAGGTATTTTGCTTTCAAAAAGAGTCAAAAATCAAATTACAAATAATGAAAAAAGAAACTGCACTATTTTACAAGTTTAAAATGCATAAACACCCTTGATGTATGGGCAGAATATTTCCATAAATATTGTTTCTTGGAGGTCCTCTTGCTACAATAAAATGGGAAACTGGACTACTGATGAACTTCTGCCTTCCTATTTATTCCATACAAAACTGAAATTTCAGCACAAGGCAAACCAGACATTCTGATAAGTGCAGGAAACAACCTACTTATAACACAGGGGACAGGAGTGACATGATGGCACGTGTCAGAGATGAATGCTTCTGTTCTGAGTAAAAGCTCACTGCTGTTATTTTACCTTATTTTTACCTCAGGTTTGTAAAATATTTAGTATTTTGTTACCTAAGTATTTATAGGGGAAATTGCAGCATGCAGACCAGCTGTTGTTTCACCGTGTTGAGGAATCAATCCAGTGCAGGTGGATCAGGAGCAGCTGCAGGTGGAGCCCAGCCCAAGGCTGGGAACTGCTATTCCTCAGCACAACAAAGGGCCCAGGACGCCCAGCCCAGCCAGGGCAGGACAATCAGAGGACAAGGCAGGAGCCAGGCAGGGCAGGGACAATCAGAGGACAGGGCAGGAGCAGTAACTCCCAGACTTTGGCTACAGCCAGGTGAGGGACACTCTGGGACATGGCAGGAGCTGATAAGCCCCAGACCGTCCTGTGAAGGTACAAACCTTTGTTCAGGGTCCCTCTTCTGAGGCTCCAACTTGAACTGTTACTGTTTTATTTAATTACTGCACCAAATATGAAGTTATTTTAAGGACTGGGACCTCTAAAACTCAGCAATTGGAAACCTGGCTGGGACAGTGTGAGGGGTGTAGCTGCCAAGGGACCTCAGATCAGGTGGTGAAGTGTGACTGCCACAGTGGTCCTGGGACAGGGAAACCTCTTTAGCAACTAAATCATCTGTCAGGGAAATGAAAAGAAGTATCTTATCCTCATTATCGTTAAATCTTAGTAAAACATGCTTTATTAGAATATGTTTAGCAACCTTCCTAATATAGATGCCAAATAAGGGAATTTGGAATGAAGAGAGATCACTCTCTCTTTCTCAGAGTGAATCAGTGATTTTTGAGTAAGATTTACAAATGACTCTGACACTTCAAATGCAATCAGCAGGTAAACCAGTCTTCTGTAAATTTAATGGATCTTTAAATTAATAGTTGTCCTTTTTAATGATTATTGACATTCAAGAAAAAACAGAATCAAAGTATGTTATTCATTCCCTCCAAGTAATGCACATGGCTACCTCCATGAAAAAAACTGAATAAGAACAAATTTATTACTATGAAATTGAACAAGTCTAATTTCTAATCTTTTTCATATTCATATAACAGATGTCTGCTATATCCATATATACACACACATATATATTTTCATTTAAATTCTGGAGCCAAGGAACACTTCCTGCAGTTTTTAAGACTCGTTTTAGTGTCCTGAATTCAGAAAGCAACAAATGTACTGCTCTACCATTGTACAGATACGTGCTTTTCAACTTCTTTAATGACAGACTACTGATGATAGACTCTAGAAACTCTGTTTTGTAAAACAAAGTTGTTTAAAAAAACATCAACAAAACAAACATCCCCCACCCCCAAATTAAACCACAGCACTAAACAAACATAAAATGAGTTTGTAATATTCCATTCTATATGCACCTACTCAGAGAAGAAATAAGACCAGCAGCAGCCAGATCACATCAGGCATCATTCCTAGCTGAAACAATTATTTTTTTCTTATTAGTTATGTGTTAGCAACTTAGGGTTACCTTGTCAGTAAAGACAAACAAAAAGGCAAACCACGAGCATTATTTACAAAGACCTATAATACAGGTTTTTAATATTAATCTGTACCTGTGAGCAGGTAGATCTGGCTTTAGAAGAATTGACTTGAGATACTCTCTTTCTGCATGATTATCTTCCTTATCCACATTTATCACTGCAAAGCAAATAAATTAATATAACCGGTTATCAATTGTTTATCACCTATTAGAAGAAAGAACAAGAAGAAAAAAACAAAATAAAGTGTTTATTTCCTTTTCTTTTCTAAGGAAAACCAACAATGTTAGAATAAAATGTAAAAATCATGTGATCTAATGGTGTGTTACTGGCAGGTTTCTATGAACACTGTCAAATAAGATACAAAAGCAGCATCTAAGCATGTCACAGAGCTGCCACTTTCTATTAACAGCAATAGCAGCCATGATTTTAAAAGCCAAGGCTCTTTACTGCTTTGTATTTGAAGTGATTTACTGCATTTTCTTCCACTAAGGAAGCTACAGATAAAGAGAATGTATGGCAAAGTGCTTATCCTTTTTGACAGCCTCATAATTCAATCCTTCCTTCCTGCCACAGTATTTCAATACAAGAAATCTTCAGACCAATGGAGTGGAGAAAATCTGTCATCTGTATTCCCTCTTAAGTGGGCAATGCCAACACAGCAGTGGTTGATGTGACATTTCTGATTCATTTCAGGCTTCAGCTACACGTGGAACAATCCAATAATCTATGAGTAAGAGGAGGATCTAAATGAGTGAATTCTTTGGGAAGTTGCATTCTAAAATCAGGTTTGTAGAATTTTAAAGATCTGCATTTCTGCAAAGCCACTTTTATGTAATTATTTTTAAAAGAATGCTTAATTTGAATGTCTGTATTAAAGGTTTGTCACAAATAGCAATAACCCTAACTCTAACCCTGATTCACCCTCTCCAGAATACTCTTAGCTAAAAGTCCATGACTGAAGCACTCAGGCTGAATCTTAAATGAAATAAAATTTTACCAGGAAGAAAAAGTTAATTGAAATATGATGACATAGCTGGGGAGATAATTAACAAGAGAATTATAAATTATTACAATAGTTCTATTTTTGCTAGTAGTGTAAATATAAAGTATTAATTTGCAATGTATGGCAATTAGTATGAAATAAAGATGAATCATTTCCCTATTAAAAAGTTGTCATTAAAGGAACTGAGTATTTGCAAGTAGTAACAAAGTCCAACTACATATTCTCTCTTTTCAACAGTGTTTTAGATGTACAGGTTAGAATCTTTTTCTTTTGCTAAGATGTATCATCATGTACTGATAGAAAAATTAGATGATCATGCTCTTCAAGAAAGAATATATAGATTTTAGTTATGTACAGTCTAATTTTTAAATTTATGCACTACCAGCATATTTAAATATGTTGTGATGATACCATTTTATATAGCAGCCTCCTTCAGCATTTAATTGTATACTTAATAATTGCATACTTACCTCATTTCTTAAAAATCACTTTTAGTATTTCCCAAAATATCTGGAAAATAGGCAAATAGAGTTGGCACATAGAGAAATGCAACTATAATATATAGGAAGTAGGCTTTATTGCAGCTATTTTCATAAGACAGAATTTAAGAGAAGAACCAAGCCTGCTCAGAAACACATCAGCCTTACCAGTGCTATAGTTATAGTGAATCCTCTGACCACCAGGTGGTTTTGGAAGTGACAGCGGGGTCTCCTCTGCAAGGAAATTGTTTAATCTGCATTCTACAAACAGCTGCTGTATTGTTTCATCTGCTGTAATTCGTGACTCAGTAAGACCAAGTGATGTAATTTTAATCTGAATTTTTTCAGCTTCCTATTTAAAAACAAAATATAAACATAATACAAATTATTTTTTGTTTAAGTGCTAACACAAAACAAACATACATAGATATATGTAAATCATCAGTGTTTTATATGATTAATACTGATTGACTGACACATACAAAATGAGAATCTAAAGCTCCAGGGTTTGTAGCTAAGTCTGTTGTTGCAAGAGATACCGATTTCCATTCAATATTTAAAATGCTTTTGCAGAAATCATAGTTACAGTCTGCTGGTTATCTTTAGGTAAAAATGCTATCTGAATCACAAATTTCAGCTGTCATCATTTTTACCTACACAGCAAAGTGATCCTGTGACTGCTTAAAATACTCTCAGTAATACAAGCTACTGAAGTTTTCCAAATAAAAGAGAATTGTTAGTACCTACTGCAGAATATACTACAAACAGTTCAATTAAATCCATCAAATCACAAAATTGTTAGGTATGTAATGTAATAATGTATTTGTAAAGAATTCAACTTAATTTAGTGAACTTTCTTTCCTAGTTAAGTCAAACACACCTTACAAAGTTAATATTCACACGTGGTAATGAAAGTAATATCCCAATTGTTCTTCACCATAGACTTTTCTTATTATCTTTAACTGAAATTACATTTTTCTGTTCCTTATATGGAATGGTTTCATACTGTTCTGCCAAGTCTGGAATATTTATGTACAGATAAATTTTAGTAAGTTGTATTTAAGAAAGAGCCACAAATATTTCCCGAAGTTACTCTGGGAAGAAGGAAAAGCAACTATGGTTTCAAAACTGGAATATGCAGGTGAGTATTCAATGATGATAGTCTTTAAAGAGCAAACAGAACACACTGGATACAGAAATGTTGAATTTTTAAAAACCTATTTCTTTTCAATATATTATTTTCTTTTTATAACTTTATTAAAATATTTTGACAATTTTTATTTCTAAACTTAAATCACCTGAAGTACTAAATCACATTCAAAGTATTAGCTTTCTATATTCAGTCAAAACTCCAAGTTAATGTGCTTATTTAATATGGTGATACCTTACATTTTGCTGAGAAAATGATAAAAATAATCAAAATGAAAAGCAATGTATCTGATAGTAAAAATATCCACCATACAGAATAATTTCCATTGCTGTCAAGTGCCTTCAGTATTTGATTATGTAATTTTACCCCCACTTTCAAAAGACTTTTCATTTTCTTATGTATCCTATGACACTTTAACTAAAAGTCCAAATCTGGATCAATATTTCAATGAGGTTCTTCTACTATTCAGCAAGTTCATGGAAATTTTACCAGGATGACAGAAAAAATTCCACAGCATTATGTCTCTACTAATAAGGGTTCATGCCTTTAGCAAATTTTTTTCCTAAAATCTAGTAAGTTAAATGGCTACTGAATGTCATTAAAATGATGGTCTTTGACTTGAATATGCTTTTCGTATTCGAATTTAGACACGAAATTAAACAAAATGAAGTATTTTATGATTAATCATACATCATAGACAAGAAGAAAAACTAAAGAAGCAGCTGGTACAGCCTGAAAATCTGTTAGATATGCCTTATGATCAATATATCTAAGAAATAACCATGAACTGTCTAATTTGCAACATAGAAAAAACTCTGGTATGATCTTAACTTACTTATATAGTGTGGCATACAATTCATATTTATAGAATAATTAGCACAATGATCTCCAAAATTCACAAAACTTAGCTACAGTATTTGAGTATCAGCAGGATAATTATCTCAAAATATTAAAGGCAGTGATTTCTGATTTTAAACAAACAAAAAAGAATTCAATGGCAATTTTGACATGCTGTATTCTATAACCAAGTCAAAAATTCAAGCAAAATAATGTGTATTTTTAAAATCCAACTTTTATCACACATGTTGCCTTAATAGTATAGAGCTTGCACTGTTTTTATCTACTGTTCACAAACATGCACATTGTTACTAAAGAACATATCAATGGAGGAATGTAGAAATTGAAACCTGAGATTAATCTACATACAACATCCTCTCAGAATTGTTCTTAAGTAATTTTGATAAAGTAAAATACAGGATGACTAGAAAGGTATAGAGCAACTGTGTTGAAATACCGTTCAAAATAAGTTTTCCAAATTTATTATTATTCTGTGCTATTTTGTATATATGACTTCTAGTCCTGAATTGCTGGTTTTAAGAATAAGTGAAGAGATTTGATACTGTATATGTACCGCTTCATTGAAAACTTATGTTAGATATAGCAAAGCTACTCTTAGAGGACATTAGGCTTAAAATATTTTTTAGTCTTACCAAATAATTGCCATGTACACTCTGACTCAGCTGTTTAATATTTGTGGATACTGGACTTGAAATAATACAGTCATCACTGTCAGTTTTTATTGATTCAACAGCATCATCCTCTTGATGATCTTCTTGATCTTAAAAAAAAAAAAAATCAATGCAGGTAACACCCGCTATATTTTAGACCACCTAAGACTTAATGAGAAATCTCATAGCAATAAATTTCCTTTTCTAATATAAAAAGAGTAAGCTCCAGGTAAATCTTCTCTTCCTTGCTGTGATTCAATGACCTTTAGAGTCATCTCATCTGTATTTTTTCTGGTTTGTTAAAAAATAATGTTTTCCAGATGCAAACTGGCTAATAGAGTAAGTCCTGTAACAAACTAAATATGCACAGCTGTTAGCTTTATTTAAGAATACGGCGTGAATTTCCTCTGACTTCCGTCAACACCATGCATATGCAGAATCTTTAGATAAAGATCTTTTAGAATCTTTAAATAAATCTAATAACTTTGTGTCACATATGTGATATAGCATCCTAGACCTCTCACTCTCCGAAAGTATTCTGGTATCAGCATTGGCTGTCATCTGCAGACAAAAAGAGCATATTCATTAAAATATGCTTATTTTAATAAATTTAAGGAGCACATTCATATTAAAATTAGTCTTTGGAACAGCATAGATCTAAGGGAGAATATGAAGACATTTAAAATAGAAGACAGGTTTCCTTTAATATTTTATGTATCTAAGTCATGTATCAGATTTTTGCAATCAATTACAACATGGTTTCCATTTGGGAAGAAAACACATCCACCACCTAGCTTCAGCTAGAATATAATTTATGTCATGAAGTTTCTCATAATGAAGCAGCTTCCACTACCAGTAAGAAATGCTTATGAAAATGGACACAGATTTTTTTTCAGAAAATACAGCTATTTATTAATAACAATGAATCCTACCTTCTGGTTCCAATTCTTCAATTATTTCTATCTCATCTTTAGAAGTAATCAGTCTTTGGTCAGCCACCTGCTCCTCTGACAGATGAGAGAGCTCTTCTTTCTCCTGCTGAATTTCTTCAGCCACCTCCTTCACTTTGTCACCCGACAGCTGTTTAGCATCCTGTACATGCTACAGGAAAAGACAAACTTACAGCCTTTATAGAACTCCTTGAATAGCAAAAGTTACTACAGTTCAAAACTTGAAGAATTATGGCCCAGGTTCATTATCCAGAGCCTTTTAACAACGGTATTGCTTACACAGTGCAGGAAACAATGAGGTGTCAACTGCTGTAACATATAATTCATATACAGCAGAAAGACATTTATCTAACTGCATTTGTGAAAACATAACTATTATAAAAATTTTGTACCTCTCAACATATATGCAGCCTGTTTGATTTCCAGTTTTATTTATATTTCATCTTTTTCTACAAATTCTATAAGACTCAGTCAAAAAACCCCAAAACACACACTGTACCCAAGAAGAACTTTTGAAAGCTAAATTTACATACATAGGCATGCACATAATTTTACCTGTGTGCATGTGAATTGAGTTTGGTATGGAGGGATTTTGGTATGAATGTTACTATCTCAAATCTGTAGTTAAGTCATTATTATAACTGTATTGAACCCTATGGAATTGCATTTTAAATGCTAAAGTACTTCCATATTATTTTCAAATACAGAGTCCTAAGTTAGGAATAAAACAAGAGGAAGCCTTTAATATACAGTAGACAATTAATATACAAAAGTAGGTATAGATTTACTGGTGGAGAAGCATTTGGACAGTGAATTATATTTTCAAAATTCTCTTCAATATTCAGCTAAAGAACCATTAGCCCAACACTCAGGATCTGTTTGGATTAAGCTGGTTTCTATAGAGGCATATGCAGTGCAACTGGTATGCTTTAGAAAGACACTTGAATAATGCAGAGAGCTGAGAAACATCATGCAGAGTGAGCTGATTGGTCCTGTTAGAATCTGCCCTAAGTGGAAACTGAAGCTTGTAAACTGTGGAGGATATCAAGCAGTTCTGAGGGAGCCACACAAACATTCCTGCATTGTGTCCCCCACCTATACCAGTATTATGCCATCATTCATTGCCTGGGACATTACAGTATTGTGCTGCAAAAATAATCCAGTGTTCTTAATTATTAGTTCTACAAATTGCCCATACAGAGCCACAGGCAGCCTTTCATGCTTCATTGTGCATGATAGAAATACTTAGAACTTACTGCCATCTGTATTGCACTAACATCCAGAAAAGAGACTCTCTTGTGTGCTTGAGCTGCCCGCTGCTTCACTTTGAGTGCTGGAGTCTGTAATAAACAAATATATTGAAGAACATTTATTGCCATCTTATTTTACAATAAATTATGAGGAACCCTATTTTTTTTTTTCAAAGCCAAATCTAATGGCACTAAATTAAATTCTAATCAGACACAATTTAACAGAATTCATACACAACATACTTCTCAGATTACACCATGGAACCCATGGAGATTTTATATATAGTATAAATTTACATTATGGAATAATATAAAATATTAGAGTTATTCCAGACATAGAATATTTTAAACAGCTTAGGTTAAAAAAAAAAACCCACTAAAAACTCTAGTATTTTAATTTATACATTTCAACCTGTTTGCTTTCATTTCTTAAATGACTGTTAAAGATGTCTGAAAGTGCCTTCTTTTTCTGTGGCCCTTATTTAAATGTGATGGTACAGTGAATTATATTTTCAAAATTCTCTTCAATATTCAGCTAAAAAACCCATTGTGAAGGAATCTCAATCTCATAACACTCCAATGTTAAGAACTTCCAGACCTTTTTGAACAACTGCTTCACCCACTCTACATATCTGACACCTAGTTGGTTTAAAATTCATGAGTATGATACTAAAACATCTGCCACTTACAGCTCAAGAAAATGAAATATAATGTCAAACGTTCTATTGATAATTTCAGTAAAAATAAGTTTAAGACTTTGCCTCTTCTGACAAGGTATAATTCAACTAGTTCTTGATCTCTTAATATGAGAAACTGCTAACGTATTTTCCAGTTCAAGAATCTTTATTACACTTTGAACATATCGAGACTTGACCTAAGCTATTTGAACTTAAAAAGAAAGAATTGAACATTTTATTTTATGAAAACTATTGCAAAATCACAGAATAGCTTGAATTGGAAGGGAACTTAAAATTTAATTTCAAATTCCCTGCCACGGGGAGGGACACCTTCCACTGGACCAGGTGCTCCAAGCCCCGTCCATCCTGGCCTCAGACACTTCCAGGGATGAGGAAGCCCCAGCTCCTCTGGGCAACCTGTGCCAGTCAAAGGCACGGCTGGAGTTGTGTCAGGAGAGGGACAGGACATCAGGAACAGGTTCTCTGCACAGTGGCTGGGCACTGAACAAGCTTCCCAGGGAATGGTCATGACCCCAAGCTGCCAGAGCTCCGAGAGCATTTGGACAATTGGGATTGTCCCAATTTGCATTTGGAGAATTTGGGATTGTTGAGGTGTCTGTGCAGGGCCAGGAGTTTGACTCATTGATTCTGATGAGTGCCTTCTAACTCTATGATTCTATGAAGAATTACTGCCTTCTAACCTAAACCAACTTTCACTGAGTTTGAAGTCATTCCCCCTTGTCCTATGCCCTTGCTCTTCTCTCCAGCGTTCTTGTAGGCTTCCTTAGGTACTGGAAGGCTGGAATTAGGTCACTCTGAAACTTCTCTTCTCCATGAAGTAATTCTCTCTATCAAGTACAGACCCAAACATACCTTGGATGGTTGTTCATGTTCCCTAAAACTGGGTGTTATATATCCCACATCTTTTGGCCTCTGTTTGTAGGGAATAATAGCTCGGTCCATAGGAACTTGTAATCTGATCCAGTATTCTACGGTACCAAAATTTTGAATGTGTCCTGTTTTTCCTAAGGAATAAATAGATGATTGCATTAATTTTCTTTTCAACATTAAGGTATGTTACTCAAAAGCTAGGAAAAACCACAAATTCAAGATGTATAGAACAGCCACAAATTAAAGATTGTGCCTATGCTTTACACCAGTGCTTGTGATGTGAGATCTGTAGTTCATGTTAGAAACAGAAACAACTCGTCAGGCTCCCATTGTATGATCCAAAATCAAAACATGGCCATTTTTCCCTACTTATATATTTACTACAGGGTTAAATCAAAGTTCAATATTTTTATCTCCTTAAGGCAAATAAAGGTTCGGACACTTTTGTTTGTTAGTAGTTAGAAGTGTCCCAAAAAATGGTATGCAATTTAAATAACTGGCAAAGGTACCACTTTACAATGCCTTATTAAACCAGATTCTCTACAACAGTGGGCAGTTAAGAGGTCACTGAATATGCTTATCTGACAAAATGTTTCTAGAAGAAAAAGTAAGCCTCAAAGAATATTCAGTACTTTTTAGAATTGTCTTGTCCAGGATACCTTAAAATTATTTTAATATAATGAATATGAATGTGCCTAAAATAACCCACAAAATGTAAACAAACACCCTCCTAGATTATGCTACTATATACATATACGTTATTAATCATAATCACCACAATTTGCACCTTTTTCACTATTATACAGCAAACTTTGTCTTACCAGTTTAGATAACACTATTTCTTCCTTTGATTATTGATAAGGAATGAGAGGATATACTTATGACATTCAGCCCAGATAAAAAGCATTGATGTTTTATATGGGCGAAGTGGGGGTGTCTCCTTTTTTGGGTTTTTCCCTCTTACCCTGTGGCTATATGCTGTTATGGCCAGAATTGCACCCATCCCAGCTTTCCACAAATGTTGGCAGAATCACAAGAACATGCTGCACACCCAACAGAAAATAGCATTCTTGTAAATGCTTTTTTTCCCCTTTTGAAATAGTAATACACAAATACATTTTTTGTCAAATATGCGTTATCTATCACTTGCAATCAAACAGAATACTTTGCAATATCTTAAATACCAACTAAATTTGCTGTGTTGTAGATCTTGCCGTCGTTTTCCAAGATTTCACAGAACTTAAGCTGACAAGAAGCAATTGTTTCATAGTCTATGCCATAGGCACGATGAACCTCCAGCGTGATGCTGTTTTCCTTTATATAGTGAAAGAAGCTATCATCAGACTGCACAAGAAACTGAGAAGTGAAGTCATATGATGGCATCTTCCCATGAACTACTGGCGTTATCTGAAGTTCAAAGTCATAGAAGGCGTAAGTACAAAAGGTAGCAGGTTCCCAGTCACCAAAAGTGTGCATAGCTTCAGAAGAGAAGATCACTTTGCTGATATGAATTTCAAAAAGGTTCTCTCCTCTTTCTAAACGAACAGTTTCAACAAATTCACCCACTGGATCACTCAGCAATACGTCTCGTCTGGACTTAAGTGGTTTTGTATCATACACAATGTCTCTTAGTTGGGCTGCAACAGATAAAATAGTTATAATATGATTGTCTTTCCAAAAACTCAAATACAATTAATGACTGAGAAGGAAGGATAAAGGCGTAATTCAATTATATTAACAATGTTACTTTCATAAAGGCATTATCAAAAAGAATTCATACACTGGATGCCCACTGAGCACACTGGCAACAATCAAGAGTATTTCCTCAACGGAGTGCCTCAGTTACACAGACACAGGCTTCAATCAGTTATTATTAAAACTGATAAAAACTGGGAGTTTAAAAGGGTAAAATTCGGAAGTCTTAAGCAATATTCAAAGTAAGTATCACTATGCAAATGTAGCAGAGATTTAAGATGTACATTTTTGTAGGGTTGATCTAAATTTGCCAGAGAAAGAATTAATACATCTGACTTTTAACATCTGTTGTATCTTGAGTGGATAGAACTATCAGCAAAGACCTTCCCATGTTTCCCAGCCTCACGTGGTAAGTGGTTAATAAGTGGTTAACACAGGTTGGATGGGGTTCTGAGTAGTCTTCTAGTGGAAGATGTCCTGCCCCTGGCAGGGATTTGGAATGAGATGGGTTCCAACCCAAGCCATTCTGGCATTGTATGATTCTAAGAAATCAAAATACATGATTGCAGAATTAGGACACAAACCATGATGCAGTAGATGCAACTTGGGAGACAAAATGTGAAAATTGTTTCAACACCAGTTTGTAAAATACCCTATTTGAGGCTTCCTATGCACCTTTTACACAGTGAAGCCACTTAAAAATACTTGAAATTCATCCTGTTTAAATACTATGTCAGTATATTATAACAAGACTTGAGGAATTTTAGTAACACAAAGTGATTTTAGTAACACAAAGTAATGATATTACTGCAAAGTAAAAGGTTGACCATAAAAGTATGATTTATTAGAAAAAAACAAGTTTGGTCATTTTATCTTTATTCAGCAATAGCTGCAGTATAAAAACCACTTTGTTGGATTTGATGTAGTTAATAACTGTCATTTAAGTCAAGGAAAATTAACTGGAATAGATACCTTTTCCATGAAAGAACTGACCTTTCTACTAATTTTAGGAATGGAAAAGTGTTTCAACTGGAGAACAAATTTAGAACAGTAATTTGGAGGAGATAAAATATTAAAAAAAATAGTGAAGAATATGATTTAAAGATACCTTCAAGTTTTCTGATACGTGCAGCTCTAATATCAAGAAGATGGGTATATTGTTCCAGTTTTAACTCATAGTCTTTCTGTAGATTTTCCATCTTTCTTGTCATTGTTTCCACTTCAGTCTGAAAAACAATTGCATGTAAAAGGAACTTCTGAGGATTGTTTGTATGGATGTTGCACATGGCTTTTGGCTACAAGTTAAAATACAGTCAGATTTGAGGAAAGAACATTTAGAGTATGCAAAAATAGCAGCAGTTTTTCACTTATCAATACAACACATCAGTTCTAATGTCGGCAAAATCAAAAAACATCAATAGGAAAAACAGAGTAGTTTTTGTTTTAGGACAATATACCTAACAGTTCATTTAATGATTTTGTTATTTTAAATGCTAATTAATTGAAAGAGAAGTCAAAATATGATCTGCACTACTCTAACAGTGGAAGTAGAAAGAAGAAAGTGAAAGCAGAGTGGTATGGAAAAGGATGGTTACTTGATAAGCACATTTACTATCTTACCTGTGAAGACCGGGTAGGAACTCAGAGAGAAGGCACAGTCTGAGGGTTAAGGGGAGGATGAGCTAAAAGGCTACAATTTAGTCACTTGGATCTCATGCTTTTTAAATAATACCTTCAGCAACAGATGATTTTGTGTTTGGTCCCCTATGCACAAACTGGCTTTGTTGCTGAATTTTCAAGTCTTAATTATTACAAGTGTCAGAGCTACAAAGGTTAAAATGCTATTATCAAGTTATTTCCCACTGTGAGTAGAGTTTAGTACCTGGTAATCTTTGCTAATTTTGTGCTGCACAAGTAACAAATTCCTTGTCTTTTCCAGTTCTTGCACTGTTTCCGCATGTGTTAACTGCAGCTCCTGCATGGAGTGTTCTAAATCTTTATGGATATCTTTTTCCACTTTTTCCAAGAACAGAAGGTCCACATTCTTTTGTTGCTTTTGATCCTGGAGCACATTTGAAAAATTAATGGAAAAGATTTTTGCAAAATATTTGTGTTTATTTATGCATGGCTTAATGCAATACTGGCACATACTTTGGTACAACAGTAAGGCAGCAAGCAGAACTTTACAAACTTTAAGCACATGGTAACACAAAAATAGGAATGAGGTAGACTAGAATGTGTCAGGATTGTTTTCAGCAATGTAATCTCAGGAACCAATTAAAATGTATCAGATATTCAGAAGCAATCATTCCTGTCTATCCAATGAAAATACAAACAGATATATTTGCCTTTCTCATAATTAATAATCCTGCCTCCATAAATGTACAAACCCCGAATTATTATTCTCAAGTCTACACTTCTTCTGTTATTAATACTGGGGAGTTAGTTTTCATTGAGTTTTTTTGTACTTTTTTGGTTTTTTTTCCATTATCATTATATAATCATCATTATATTAAACACTTCCTCAAGAAAATAAAACATAAATTACCCAAACAGTGGAAATACTGCAAAATAATTTGTTCACTGATTTCTTCCTCTCACTCCACTTTTAATTTGTGCAAGAGAAAAAAGAATAGAGTATTTTCTGAGTATTTTTTGTTTTCTGTTTTCATAAACAAAGAGAAGTTCCTGAGCATTGCTATACCACATATTGGAACTTCCATGCTTATGGTAAAGTTGCATCAATTGTAGAATTAATAAAAAAAATTGGTTTTAGTAAACATTATAGGGATAACAAGATGCTGCGGTAAGTTATTTAACTGAGAAAAACGAAGTTTTTTTAAAATGGCTGTGAATCTGATTTAATTCACTTTAGTTGTTATAATTAATTATTTACATAAATTAAGATTTAATTCTGTAAATTTTTTCATTTTCCCTTCTGATTAACTGTAACTAAAAAATGACAAGAGCACACATTTGAGCTTGAGGCATTAACTACTGAAAGATGCTCAAATAATTCAGCCCTTGAAAATCTGAGGTGCGTAGAAAGCATATAATGGTCAGCCAAGGGTTTAACAAAAGAAGAAAAAACCCAACAAAACCAACAAACCAACAAAAACACCTTGCACAAATAAGAAAATAAGAGAATGCAAAATATGGAATTCTAGAATGGTTTGGGTTGAAAGGGATCCTAAATATCATCTAGTTCCAGCCCTGCATTCTTTGTAAGGTACCTTTATATGGAAGAGGTTTTCATTGAATTCTGCCATACCAACATCACTTTCCTGAAACATAATGGAAAGGTGTTACCAGATGTGAATTAAAGAAATACATTCATTATAACAATATACATTCTCACTAGATATGATGCTTTGCTTGATAGCATGACTAAATAAACACTTATTTTTCTATGTTCTTTGACTTTCAAGAAGTATCTGCACTATGCCTAAAACATAGAGGGGTTTCTTTTGTCATATTAAAAACAAAAATACAGTTCACCTTGGTTAAAAACTTCACTTGATTTTTCAGATCATCTAGTTGTTGTTTTTGTTCCAGGTAGCGTAACTGCAGGTCTTTGTTGTCTTGCATCAGCTTTTCCTTTTGGTCTTGATATAGAAGAACAAAATATTATACTTAATTAAACATAGGTAAGAAAATTACAAACTTGATTTTTTCATGTTAATATATGCATGAAAATGTCATTGCAAAAAGCAGAAACTAATGTATTTTTTATGGGGAAATCTTTGTGTCCTTGTTCTGTTTAGGACAGGGTTAATTTTTGCGAGACGTCAACTTTTACTGACACCATCAATACTTCTCTATCAAGACAATCATAAAAAAATTGTACTTATTGTACTCTGTAGAACAGTACTATAAATAAGAACAAATGCAGCAATGCATGAGATTTTGTTAATATAAAATAAAAAGTATTTTAGACAGTGTATGTATAACTAAATAAATAGATACAGTGTATGAATTTACGAGATGAGTGACAAGAATCCTTGCTATAGGAATTGTTTCAACTTAGATTTTGTACTAGCTTATCTCAGGCTTTTAAAACCTGCATGAAACACTACTGTGAGTAAGCTTCAATGAACATGAACCAAACAGTTATTGTAATTTATGGCTGAGAATGTGGGAAATACTGGTAAGATGAGAAACACAACTATAAATGTCTAAGGAAAATGGGGCTGGTGGAAGGGTGATATAGCTTCTGAAAATACTATATTAAAAAAAACCCAGAAAACATAGAGTGTTACTCTATTTCCTATCTAAATACTTTTCTTTTAAGTATTACAAAGCAGATTATGATGTTTTGGCCATAAAAATACTTCTAAAACAATCAGATCAAATTATAGGGTCATTCTAAAAGGGAACTACAGAAGGAGGACATAGAAAATGTCAAGATCATGTTGGTCTCCTGTAGCATTAATACTTTTCAGGGTTTCACTTATTTTACCATCTTTCTTGGACACGGGAAAGAAGTTTAGGAAAAAGATTCATATGCCAAACTACAAAGGGTAGACATGACATTATTTCTACACTAGTTCTAGGCAGTACGTTAAGACAAGCATTCATTTCAATTCTCATACTGAACTTCAAAGAGGAACGTGCAGCAAAGGCAGACACTCTGAAATATGTGACTGAAGAAAGTTGTACTGCCTACATTTTGTGAAAGACAGAGCTGTAATCAAATCCTATATACAGAGGCCTGGAAGGATATTAGAACATCTACTCAGCTGCAGCAAGTCAATTCAATAGAAATCAGAGGTGTAGTACTCTGGTGTTTCAGTTTAGGAGTACAACAAGCTACCGGGGGAAGGGATGGTAAGTACCTGACACTTAAACATAATCCCCACAGAAAGGAAAGAAGATGGAACGCCAGTTTTTTCTTAATCATGCTACAAGTAACAACTGTTAGTATGTCATAACTTCATAATAATGTAGCTTAAGGCATCTTTATTTTAGGGTCAATTAAGGCTAATTTTGCAAACACTTGCTGCGGTCAAACAAAATGTTTAAATATTCAATCTGGTATGTGAAGTCAGCAGAGCTACTGAGAATCCTAATGGTAAGCATGTGCTAAACTCAACCCATAATCATAAGAATTATTCACACGTTGGCCCACTTCATTCCATTAAATTGCTCACAGAAATGCATCTCTTAAAAATACATTTGAAGAATCAACTCTAAGCTAAATATCTTCACTTTCTGTCTCTGCTTGTATTTTGTAAACTTCATATTGTTACGGTAATCAGTGTTGAGATAAAAAAGATTGAAAGGTAAGTATTCACTAAGAAGTTGTCCTACAGCATGAAGAAAACACATTTGAAATAATCTGCTCATTAGATTAAAAGAAAACTTTTATTTAATTAAATTAATTAAATTAAAAATTAAAAAATTGTTTAAAATGTACAATGCTGTAAATAAAAATTTAGAATATACTGAACTTATTAAAAAAATCTGAATAAAATTGAAAGACAAACGTTGCCAAGGGCCTATATAGGCTTCACATAGCTGTGTACAGTGAAAAAAATAGTGGTTTATAATTTGAGAGAAACTGTCAGAGGGGTCTCTTTTCCATAAGAACTTTCAGTGTAGAGAAGAAATACTGAACAAAGAGTAAATACGAACCCAACAGATGAAGAATGAATTCAGCTGAAATTATATGAGCCTCATTCAGCCCATATTCTGTATTTGGTCATATTTTGAACTAAATAGATAGTCATAACTTAGGTGTATTTAGCAAATGTACACTTAAAATGCAGCTTTGAAAACACCAGCAACAGAGACTCCACTTTTCTGGGCAGTATATCTCAACTCCAAAAGGGGTATAATCTCACACTTTGAGAAAATACTAGTTTTCTCAGAAATTTACCTCTTTCTACTTTGATCTTGTCAAGGATTTCATTTTTGTCTGCTAAATCAGTTTTGATAGCCGTCTCTAGTTTAGCAATTTGCAGTTTCAGTTGCTGTTCCTTTGATTTCCATTGTTGTTCATGGGGTAGACTGAAGACACTGCAATAAAATATATGTTATATGAAAAACTTTTAGAAAACAGCTTCAGCAGAAAATAATCAAGAAAAAAAAACTTTTAGCAGCACAGAGATCACTGTCATTGTGGCTGAGGAATTATGTAAACATATGTTGGTCTGCTGCTCTTGAAACCCAGGAGGCTCTCTCAGGATGCAGTTAAAAAACATGAAAGATTTGTGGGATGAGCAAAGGAGCTGGCCTTAATTTAGAGCTCTAAAGTTTAAAAAGTTGCTAGCATCCAACATTTGTGAGATTAGGAAAGGAACAGAGATACATATCTCAGAATAATCCACAATTGTAAACTTCAGCAAATGACTACAAAACCAGGTTTTTTTTTTTGGTGTACAAACCCTCTTAATGTAGAGAATTGGGATCATCCACCTGATTTCTTTTAAATTTTCGAGACATGCAGAACCTAAAGTCAGTTGCCTGGTCAAAGAAATGTTGACCACAAAGTGACAGCAGTTTTCTCATACTCTAAAACAACAATTCTGGTGCTGATTAAGAAGCATATATAAAGTAATCTTGAAGAAATAAAAAAACGTAGGAAAAGAAATTAGAATAACTATTTTGCCTTTAACATTATTTGCTTGTAAATTGCCAATCTATTTGCAAGGACTGCATGGATACAGAATCAGAACTGCTGAAACCACAACAAAATGTATAACTCAGACTGAAATAAAAGTAATTATATTATATAATCTACAGTATAATTCCTTGCAGGTAAAAAGAAAAAGCAATGTAATGTGCTTTCTTGTAACTTAGACAGTGAGTACTATGCTCTTCATATTACTGTTGTTCAATTCGTGCATTCTTATTGACTGGAAAAATGTCCATCTTAAACGATAAACCAGTTTATTCACTTACATATTCTGTGAAAAATCATAAACTGTGGAAAAAGCTGTAAAATATCAAACTTTATATAGGTTCACTGTGAAGTGCTGGAAAAACTTAAGACAAAAATTCAAACACCCCTTTGTTAAAAAAAAACCCCAAGAAACAATCCTAAAACCCAAAATAAACCCAAATTAATATATATCTACCTAGAAGTATCCTTCTTTCAACAATAACTCTAATGAAAAGAATGAGAAATTCAACTGAGAACTTTTTTCATTTATGTTCAAAATAAAGTGACTCCTATTTATTTTTAATTATGTATTTAAAAGTAGTATCCTATTGTTTCAAAAGTATTAGAACAAGTTGGTTCATTTCAACAGGACAGATGAAATACAGGCAGAGTACCATGAAAGTTTCCATACATGCTTAGATATGATAAACTGAAGCACAAACATATTTACATGTGTGCACAAACATGCAACAGGCACATTCCAGCACTTGGTGTATGAAGACCTATTCAACAGGACAGGAATCTAATTTTTCATATACAGAATCCATAACTTACCTGTTATGCAGCTTATCATAGTTTTCCTTCAAGAGTTCGTTCTCTTTTTCTAGATCATTTATTCTTTCCTGTAACTAAAATGAAGAAGGAAGTTTTATTTGATGCACAGCATCAAATGGCATAAACAACATAAAACAAAAGGAAATTACATGAATGTATGAAGACACATAGTTAATAATTTGTAGGTATTTGTTCTTTTTATACAAAATCAGAATCACAGAACATTCTGTGTTGGAAGGGACACAAGGACCATCAAGTCCAGTTTTAAAGCGAATGGCCCATTTGAGGATGAAAACCACAGTCTTGGTAGTATTAGAACCCTGCTCTAATCAATAGGGCCAATCTCAGGGTACACGTGCAAAATAAAATAAAAATCTAAAAGTCTAAGTGTATTACTGACATGGTAAACAACACATCCTTGTTTTCAAAATATTCACTAAAGCAAGACATAACTTTAAAGCTATGAGATACCAAGAACATACCTTCATGCATTGCAATAGTTTAAAGGCTTGGAGGAAGTACCTATGAGATAATCTTGGTAAACTTGGTTCATACAAAATACATTTAAAATAGGTAAACCAGGTGGTTAAACTAAATTTACTACGAAATGTAACAGAAAAACAAGTAAGATTGCAGACTCTTACTCCTCATGCATTGAAGAGAATGAGGAATAAACCACTTAATTTCTAGCCCTAAGTGTGGATGACATTAGTCTGAGAGCCTCTAGACAAAGAAACAGAAGTAACTGATTTGAACTGCTAAATTTGAACTGTACACTATAATGTACAGGAATTAAATCAGGTTGAAAGAATACTAAAAAACTATTATCAATAAATTAAGTATCATTTTCTTTCAGTTAACAAGCCACTTTTTCAGTATCAGAATTGATATGAAATTCTATGCTTTAACCTCAACTATTGTCCAAACACAGGTGCAGTGACTATGTGGCACAGGGATCAAGTGTGGTTGATATTCTACCAAATGCAAGCAGCAACCACTGTTTTTCTTTTTTTAATAGGATAAAAGTATATTTACCACCAGGTCAGTCTTCTAAATGTGTTTGAAACATCTATTCACATTTCCACAATTAAAAGGTCATTAACTCTTCCCTTATCTATATGTACTTCAAGCAGATTCAAGATCTCTTGAACACAGTCTCACCTCTTCTGTCCTTCTGTTTGAAATAGTCACCGACTGCAATTCTTTCTGAAGATTGAAGCACTTTAACCGCTCCTCTTTAAGCTGAACATTCAGTTCATCACCTTTTGCTAATAAAGCATCATGGTTGGTCTTCAAGTTCTTTAGGTTCTGTGAAAAGGAAGGAAGGAATATGGAAATCAGACCTAGTAGAATGTTCCCACACTCTCTATTTCCACAGGGGGCTCTCAAGGTGCTATTAGTAGATGTTCTCAATGGGATCAGCAGGACACATTCTTGAATTAAGTAACTGAAAGTAACTTTCACTTCCCAGTTAGGAAGGCCAGCACAAAGTGACCTGGTTGCCCTCATGAACATCAAATCTTCAGTTATGAAAATGACAAATAAATCTGTAAAGCAACTAAAAGATTTTGCAGTGGTTACAGTGGTTGGACATGCTAACCAAAAACCACTGCAGCAGCAAGCAGAAATCAATGTTGTCCACAGCTCTCTTTTATATTTAATACACATATACACACACATACATATAAATCTTTATACTTATAGATACACATACACACAATTGTAGATATAGGAGTCTCTGGCAACCCTCATGCATTCAGCTCTATTTCCGAGCTAAAAGAACTTTAATAAGGGACTTCTGATTTCCTTTATATTTTCATTTACTTTGATGACACATTTAACCAATTTTAAAATTAAATGGAGGATGCTGATTGAGTTTCTATTTTCAGAATATTAGTTAATATTATACTGCCTAAAATCTTGTAGTTAAGCCTCATTCATTAAAAATTCACATGTAAATCACATTCAAACTACGATTTGAGACAAAATAGTTGAAAGCAGTCTCCTGTTTCATAAAATGACTGGATGATAATTTATGCCAAATACATACATGAATATAGTTAATGTTTAATGCTTTTAGACATAAAGAAGTTAGCTTCATTTTTTCCATACAATATTCCTACAAAGTAGTTAAATGGAGAAGCTAAATGTTAATCCTGTAAAAATTGTTTACGTTCACATGCAGTCTAAACAGATTGTAAATTAACAAAAAACCCATGAAAAATCAGTCACCAACTTGATCTTCAGCTTTTCATATTCATTTCTCAGGAAGACAAAAATCATGGAGAATACACAATGTTAGCATTGAAATAATAAATAAAAAGTTATTTTATAGTTATAAATAGAGAGAATTCTAAATTCTAGAGTTAAACTCTCTCTATTTTAGATTTCCTAAAGAGAAAGAAGACAAAAAGCCATGTTAAACCTTTTCCTAGTTTGGCAGAGAAGATACAGGAGTTACACTGAAGAGGGGGAAGAAGGCAAAACAAAACAAAACGCAGAAACAGAAAACATGGGCAAAAAAAGGAATCAAACAAAAATCTAATTACACAAGTGTTATTTAGCATGTTAACAATAAGCATACAGAAATTTAGAGTTTATAAGGATACTCAGTGCTTCCACTTCTTAATCCTGGATACTTAATAAGGCTCTATTGCAGTTAGGATTCCTCCTTACAGGAAGTTTCCCATTGCCAAGGTATTATCATACCACCTTTGTATGCATATGCAGTTTTCCATATACATACAGGAAAAGGCAGAAAAAAGCAGTATAATTAAAACCTCTAGATAATCTACCATGGAATTGCATGTTCTGGAGATATTTTCATAAAATTGCTCTTTTTATAGGGAAAATTATTACTTAAAGCAGTCCTCTAAAATAATTTCCATGAACATATGAGCAGAGGTTAAATCCTAACATCAGAACAGCCAAACTGCCCAAACTTCAGCAAAGAGTAATAAAGTGGAGGGAGCTTGGTACTCTTTTTTGGTTAATCAGTAAATCTAAATCAAAGTCCTCTCTTTAAATGATCAGGGATCTCCTTCCATAGCCAGACAACTCAGCTCATTCTTCATAATCTGCCTTGTATGACTATGCAGATGAAATCACTAAGACCTGCTAGACCCTGCTGAAGAAAAAGAGAGATGAAGACTAAAAATCCCTACTACATCTGGAGTAGTTTGAATGCAATGTAGGATGTGATTGATTTTTATGTACTCAGTATTGACTTTGAATCATGAACTATGTGTAATTTGTCTTCTGTTTAGCATTCTTATGCAATAAGATATAGGAATGCTACTGATCAAACTGCAATTACCTCTTCAAGCTGGAGAAATCTTCCTTCCATTGCCGAAAGAGCATTGCTTTTCTCAGCAAGCTGCTTACGGACCTTGATCATTTCCACATTGTCCTGAATGTTTAGCCTTCAAAATTAAAACCAAATGCTTCATAAACACATATTTCAAAGAAGATGTAGCATATAATAGCCAAATTAATTTGTTCTTCTATAGTTCACACTAGAGAGTTTAGGTAAATAAACATTTTACTGTTTGATGACACAGCAACTTCAATCAATATATGTACATCTTTGGTTTTTTTTCTGTCATATACAGTTTTATACAATAAACAATCCTATGCCTAAAGAGATTGTTTTCCCTCTCTCCCACCATCCAAAGCATTCAGTGCCAGTTGAACACCATTTTGTGAAGTTTCCACCTATCAAATACTGCAATGAATGCGTGAGCTAGCAATTTAGACTGTAACATCTTAAGTCTGGTATTCACACAAGCTTCCAGTGTGTCATAATTACATGAAAATAATTTAATATCTATGCAGATAATCTTACAATTCTAAGATTAATTTGAGCCTGTACTGTACTGTGTATTAGAAAGGATGTTTAAAATTATTCAAAATTAAAAAAAATATTTACTTAGGTGTTTTTCCTTACTTCAAACGGTGCAACTAAACCCCATTATTTCTACAAGTATGAGAGGAGAAACCAGTTTGGGTTTTCATTAATATAAATAATGATAAAATCAGAATGGATTTTCAATATCTGAAAAGGCAATTTCTCTTCCAGTACTTGTCTACTTTAGACATGCTGGACAAATTGCCACAATGCCATGCTGGAAAAAGTGAAGGGGCTACAAAGCTTAAATATCTGCAAAACAGCTAAGTGAATAAAGCAATGTTGCTCTCTAATACCAAAACATGGTTAGAGACTTTCATTTATCTCAACATTTTCTGCAACAGCAGAGCCAGTATTTTTCTATTTGTAGACTCCAAATTATTGAATACTAGTGAACAATTAAATTATCCACTATGAAGCTACACCTAAAATTTGATAAGAATTAAAGTGAAGGAAAAATAGGTGATTAAAATTTTATGACTTGAATTTCAACTGAACCTGTATCAGTTGGAAAAGAATTCTCTAAAATGGTAATTATGAACTTTTTTGCTTATTTATGAAAAAAACATCATAACTTATTATTGTAGCTATCTCCTGCTTAGAATTATCCATGCTATTTTGCAAAACATTTTATGGCTTGGTTTCACCAACCAGACAAAAATTAATAAGGCCTATATTTCTTTACAGAAGTAGTAACTTCCACAGCTACCTACAAACATTATGATATAACTCTTCCTGACTTTTCCACCATGGAGATCTTAATTTTTCACAATACCTTTGGCTTGCTGTACCCTGCTCTTTCAGCCGTAGGGTGGATTCTTCAATTTCCTTTTCTTTCCTTCTTAGTTGACTCCCAAGAAACTCTCTGGCACGGTCTAGTTCTTCAATTTGGTTCTTTTGGGACTCAATGACTCTCTCCCTGCAAACACAAGCATCCTACATTCTAAAACCAGCTATATATTTTTAAAAAGGGAAAAAAAAGAGTACTCAAGTAAGCCAAACTTTTAAGTGTTCAGCAAAATCTGTATTTCCTAATAACATACATCACAAGAGAGGCTTATGAGTTTAAATTGCTATGAAAGCGCAACACAAACTCTCAAAATAAATGTTTCTGTGGACTGAATAATGCTCAGCAGGACCTCACTAAAACACTGTTGTTCATGGTTTCTTACACTCTGTATTAGAAGTATCCTCCTAATCCATTAGCATTAGATGGTTTCTCAAAAGTAAAACACCATTACTAGCTATCACAAAATTAGATCTTCAATGGATGGGGCACTGAAAGTAATTTTTAAGCTTTTATTCCAAGATGGAAAAATCTAAACCCCCCAAAAAATCAAAAAAGAATATAAAATCAAAAGATGTGTTTTAAACAGTGAAATTTATACCAGTGGAATTTATCCAATAAGCGCAATAAAAAAATGTATAGGAATATTTCCATACAATTGTTTCTTATGATTCCAGTTAATCTTTGCATTTATAAAATTTCAAGGACAAAAAAAAGATTGCACATTAATCATGTATTTCTAAACTTAGCTTGTCCATTAATTGGAAATTTAGCATTTACAGAGAATGTAATTGATAATCTGATTTAAGTCAATCACTATGAAAATAAACAAAGAGCTTTTAGAAAACCCAGGATCTAAACACACAATTCAGAGAAGAAAAGTATTCTAATCAGACACCTCAATATCTTTAAATTAGATGCTAGCTACCTTTTTTATGTAACATCTCTCTATTCTCATGCTATCACTACATCAAGGATGTTGTAAGGATTTCCTAAGTGTCAATTTCATTTGAAATGTGGAGCTGAATTACAAACCACACTTCAAAATGCAAAAGTGAATCAGAATAATTTTACATAACTATCCCAATACTGTGCTTTTTGGACTTATCCATAAAATCTGTCTGCCTCTAGGAATGAAACTTAAATGCATCAGCAAAACACATCCACATAGTTACCACTTGCATGGTGGTGCACATTTTAGGACTTACATTGCTAAAAATTTTGCAGCTAAAGTTCTTTCTTCTTTTGTCAGCTTTGACCCATAACAAACCAGGCAGGCATTGCATCCTAGCAGAGAGTCTCATCACTGGAGACCAGTGTTAACTTTTTGCCAAATTCTTATGTACCTACATTTTGCATTCTAAATACCTGATTTCCTGTTTTCCTTAATATTCTGCATGGTTACCAGTGTTATAATTGTCAGAACCAACCATTTTATTTTCTGAACGGAAAACTTCTTAAAAGATACACTTTTTTTTTCTTCAAGAAAACTGTAAGTTCTAAGAACTATAATGACAAAAAAAGTAATATGAAAATCATACAAATTTCTGATTTCAGCCCTTGAATCCTCAAGCAGACTCTGTTCATATTTGGGGAGCACAGGGTCAGATGATCTCACTTCTAAACTTTGAAATCTCATTCCTGAATATGAAAAAAAAGGAGAAATTTTTAACTTGCTGAATGAGAAAGCTTTTAACAAACTAACTAACTTAATACAGTACAAACAATTGCAACTTCAGATGTCATTAGAAGTATTTTTACATCAAAACCACATGGAAAGAAATAATCACAGTATGCACAACATAAGCTGATGTAAAATCTGAAGGATGGGCAATGCCAAACAGTGCTAAAGTAAACTGTTAAAAACATGTCCTGAAAGATTTTTAGAAGATTTTACTTTCAAAGACAGACGACAGAGATGACGTCTTCAAAGAAGAAAAATATCAGTATTATTAGACAGGAACATGGACTTGTAATCACTTTTTCTCAGCAATTTCACTGCAAAATCCCAAGTGTCATTCACCCAGACATGCAATTGTTAGGACTGTATTTTAGTTGCAGTGCAGATAATTTCCTTGTGTTGTTTAGAAGCATCCTAAGACCATGGTGAAGAAGTGAGAAATTAATTAAGGAAGAAGTATTACTTAAGGAGCAAATGCAATGGTTTCTCCACATTTTTCTCCTACTCTTAGAAAGAAGAAATTAAAAAAGTTTTGAGGTGGGACCAAATACATTTCATTTCAAAGCCACAATTAAGGCAGTCATCCCTCAGTCCTCAGAATTGCATCACTTAGGTTCAAGGTACAATGATACCAGCAGTTCTCCAAAATGCCTGAAAAACTTACCTAATTTGCTGCATTAACTTGACCTATTTCGAATTTTGACCTTTATGCATTATTTTAAGGTACTGCTAATTGCAATACACACATATTGTGTGTGTGTGTGTGTATGCCTAGAATTTTTTTTTGTTTACTTTTGTTCAAATGGTATTTCTTAGATGATTGCACTCAATAAAGAAAGCAAGTATTTACAGAACATCCATACCTGATTAGCTTTCCATGGTATTTTTAAATCAGCTAAACAAAAAGCAGATACAGGAAGCTCTAATTATTATTTGTAGAGTTTTCTTGTCTCTTAATACCTTACAGGCAGCTTATTATTATCCTTATTTTTTCCAGGCATTTTATCATTCAGTAATTGCTCCGCATATTTTCTGATCTGCACTAGAAATGTTTTGAAATTCAGAATCATGGTTTCAAGTGCAATCAAAGAGTCTGCTGTTTTAATAAAAGTGACTTATACCCTTCTTGGTGTGCTCTGGCATGCCAGCAGTCTCTCTCTCTTTTCTGAGACCAGTGTTGACACGAGCTTGAACGGAGCTGTAGAGACAAGGCCTGTGGCCTTGAATCTGGAGCTGCTGTTTAGTTGAAATGAGTTTGTGGCGGAGGCTCTCATTCTGTTTCTCAAGCTCACGAACTTTTTCTTGCAAATCCTCAATCATTTCTTCCAGCTCCAGAGCCTGACCCAGCCGCTTGGGTCCAGAGCCAGCCTGGTCACATTTTCTTTTATCATTAATGAGCCGTATTAACTTGGTGGTCGTTCTGGGGAAAATATTAAAAAAAAAAAAAAATTATGCGAAAAGTCAACATAAAAAGTATTCTGTTGAAAAGAACATAACCACTGTGGATACGTCAGCGGAGAACGTCTGATAATAAATTTCAAGTTTTGATAAAACTATTGTTGCCTGTGACAAACTCCTTGAACTGATACCACTGAGCAGCAATCTGTTTTATAGCACTGACAAATAACAGTTTCCTAAGGCTTATCACTTAAGGTTAGTAAAGGAAAGACACATCTACATTGTATGCAATTTTACCTAAGTGGATTGTGAATACACCCACTTGGTGTAAGTGGATGATGAGCAGTATTTCCTGCACACAGAAATATAGGACCTGCCATTTGAAATAACAAAACAATTCACATAATCTACAATCCTGTATTTGACAACAATCTGACAGAAAAGACAGAAATTATGTAATGCTGGTCAACTGGAAAGTGGCTCACTGAATACTGAGTCAAAAGAAAATAATGGTTTGGACTTTAAAGTACGAAATAGGCAATACTAAAGCATGAAATAGGCAATATTTTCAACTACCCTTTGAAGAATTCCTTAGCTCTTCACCAGAAACTGGCTTAGATGCAGAAAGACTTTGTAAAAAATTAGCACAATGCAAACAGTCACAGCATTGAGCCCTTCTGCAATACTGTAATACTACAAACAGTTCTTCACAGTCCAGATCAGTTTGCCACCACACTAAGTCCTGGCAAAGATTAGCACACAAGTCCTAAGACACTGAGTTTAATAATCAGCCTAAAGTTGCTTGTATATTTGTGGGTAAACTGGGTACTGTGCTCCCCATGCTATTTGGGACTTCTTCACTGAAGGTATCTATTATGCTTAATTATCTATTACGTTTAAGTTATCTCTTATGTTTCGTGGTGTCAGTGGCTGGGGACAGGGACAACACACACCCCGATGTCCATGTGGCAAAAGAGCGTGTTTATTCCTCAAGCCCCTCTTTATACAGGGGTCTGAAAAACCCAGACTGGATAGCTCATTGGCCTGATCTTTGGCACCCCAGTCTGGATGGATAGCTCATTGGCCTGATCTTTGACACCACTCAGCTCCCAAACCAGTGACATGTCTGCAGCTCAGGATGGAATGTAATTGACTGAGGTTACTGTCAGTCAACTCAGGTGCCAGTTTTATGGAGCTGACAGTGTTTCTTATCTGTAGCCAAATTAATTACGCAGTAGAAGCCAGCTTATCTGTGACATAATGTGACAGTTATCTACTACACTGAATAAAGGAGTGATGATTATAAAGACAATTTAGTGCTAGTTCACCAATAAAAAGCTAGATGCTATTCAACTTCTTGAAAGACAGATTGGGACAAAAAAGGGGCAGAATCTCTCTGGACAAACCATTTTGATTCTAGAATGAAACGCCTGAAGAACCATTAGGCTTCTACAGCCTGCTCTCCAATTCCCAGAACACTCCACCAGCACAGCTGGGAATCCAAGGTATCATCTCTGATGTAGCAGACAGCAGTGTACCTCTGTACAGGGAGATCTAATAGGGGTCCCTGTAAAAACCATCTCACATATTCAGAGACAACAGATTGTAGAATTCAATACAAAAATCATGTCCAGTGGGTGATTTTTGCTACTGCATTAAAACGTGCTCTGAGAGAAATCAGCATGATTTTTAATTTATTCATGATGCTTTAAGGGGACAAAGATATTCCATACCTTTTAATTTTCTTCTCTTGCTTATTGGCATACTGTTTGAGTAGGATGTGGTCATCACGCAGACGAAGAAATCTGTCTTCCAGTTCCTCCCGACTGATTTTTGATATGACTTGTCGAGCTTTTACATTCTGTATAGATGATGATTCTACCCAAACCAAGGCAATTTTAAATTACCTTCAATACATTAAACAACACATAATTCAAAGTCTAACTCACTTTGAAATTCTGAAAAAAATTAACGAAAATTTTCAAGTAATATGATATTTTACACTTATTTCAGTCTACTGATTAATTTCCTCAGACTTATTGGCAGGCTAATCACTTCCTTTTTCCTTTCTCTAAGAGACTAAAAAGAATGTAGTTCAAATGATGCAGCAAACTGATTACCTACCAGGCAATGCAAAGATAACAATTTAGCAAGCAACCAGGAATGGTAAAACATACTAATCAAAAGATTGGATGAACATTACCATTGAGATGTTTTCTCATCTGTTTCAAAGTGAACATAATCTCTTGATGCTTGAAAGAATTAACTCACAGTTATGAAAATTACTAAGAAGACTAAGCCCAGCAGTTCCATTCTAATAGCAGCTGAGTAACATATAAGAACTGCATAGCACTTTTGGTTCCCATTTTCTTAAATGGATCTGACCTTGTCCTCAGTTCAGCAAAAAAGCATCCTTTCTTTCTGGAAGGATGAATGTTATAGCTTGATGAGCTTTCCAGTTTCTAGTATCTCACAGCAATTACTCTTTTACAACAACCTACTTGAACATAGAATGAGTCAATCTACCTTTCAAAATTTAACCCAGATTTTGAACTTCATTTTGTGAATGAAGCTAAGCAAGACACTGATTGAAGTCTGCAATTTCAGGAAAGAGCATACAATAAAGTACCTTAGAATTACAAGGTACAAACCTTGTAATTCTTCAATTCCAGCTGGAGTAAGGACTGTATCTCTCACAGCCAGGTTCCCCACAGTTTCATCAGCTGAAACAGGCATGGCTTACCTAGGAACAACAAAATTCAAATGCTTCTCTATCTGCAATTTAAACTGTGAGACTAGAATGAACTACAAAACATCAAATAAAATGATGGTAAAAGTAATGACAGATTCACTGGAATGACCAACCCGTGTATTACTGTAAATGCTCCTATCTCAACTGAATTCCTCAGAGGACAATCAAAACCTTCAGGCTTAACGTTATGCCATTTTTAATCCATGCACAAAATATGGTTTATTTGGTTATGCAGTAGCTAGCTCCAATTGTGTTTAATGCTTGCAGAATGTATGAGCTTTTAAAGCTCTAGTTCTAGATTCTCTTCAGAAATCTTTGGGCTAAGGCCATATTTCCAGGTGGATGTGGGAGGAGGACCTGATGGGGTTTCTTCTGTGTTTTTGGGGTTTTTTGGTGGTTTGTTTTGTTTTGTGGTTTCATTTATTTGTTTTTGTTTTGTGGGGTTTTTTAAAGTTGTTTATTCATTTTAAATCAGGTCAAAGTTTAAGGCATCAACTGGTAGGTGAGGAATGCCATCCTTCACATTCTGAATGGGACCCTAAAATGAGGTGCTGGGGGTTATGGAGTCATTTCAGTGCTACCTGCCAATCTCTTAGTCTTCTTTCAATCATTGTCCTAAGAGAAATTACTTTTTAAAATAGACACATTTCTATGAGTGATATTCATAAATCCGAACACATTTGTTTTTTGGGGCAAGGGAAAGTTCAGCTACATGACAAAGTGAGATTAAGAAAGTATTAATTAATCACTGTAATATATGAAAATACTGCTGTTTCTTTCTTGTCTTCCAATGCAGAAAATTTAATGTTGCACAGAGAATTAAGGAATGCTGAAACAACGTGAAAAGGAGGCACATGAAGTCCTTAGGATGGCCTTTCCCCCCCATACTGTTACACCCTTCAGATGATACAAATCCTGAGTGAATCCAAAAATATCTAGGAATCCATTGGCATATTAACAGTGATGTTAAAAAGACTTGCATCAGAAGACAGAAGTGACATAGTATAATCCACAGACATTCCATGAAATATCTCTTCATTTTATCATCAAAACTACTGCCTAAGTGATGCCCTTCTTCTACCAGCAAAGCCCTCTATCATAAACTAGTCTCCATATGGCTTTGTCCTAAAGGAACAAAGAGGATTAATGGAAGTTCCGTTTCCAACAAGTCAGTCTTGCTTTCAATCTTTTTCATCCCTGAAATTTAGAATAAAGTAGCAATTAATACCTGGACAGATCCAGATGCTATGCTGAACCATATAAATTTTAATGAGATTTTATTTCCAAGAAAAGTTACCATACAGTCACTTCAGCACTTTTGTTAATCAAAAATAAGTGAAAAGAACTTCACATACAAAGAGAGGAAAATTTTCCATATCTCTAGAATTAGCCTATAAGAACTTCCAGTTAGATATAAGCAAGAATTTTATTGTTACTGGAGTTCAAGAAACTTTAACTTATATACTGCAGTATTTAATGTTTCTATCACCATCTGACAAATTACAAAACACTGCATATGACTTTGCTGAGTTATATGAGACCAGCCTGTAATGAGAAAAATACGTAAAACTAGAGAACCTCATACTTTAGATCCAAATTTTTATATAGCTCACAGAAGCAAACTGTTGCACCAGCATTGTTCCAAAGTAGCAAAACTAAAGATTGATTACCTAATTTTTTAAAAGTACTCACCCAGTAAGGGTAGGAAGCACTTCTAGAGAAGGGGGTTCTAGGGGAATCTTAAAAATTACGATATTTGTTTCAATGTGGATTTAGAATTTCATGAGCCTTGTACGCGGCCAGAATGATGCTTTCCTTGCTATTTTCCCATACTCGGGCAGGGGAACAAACCTCCCGCTTGAACCCAGCGGCCAATTTGCGCTCTTTAGGTACAAAATAGATACTGCAACCCAAAGGGCCCCTCGGGCTGCTCTGAATAAAGCGGTGAGGCACCGCCTTGCACCTTTTAGGTACAAAATAGATACTGCAACCGAAAAGGCCTCTCGGGCTGCTCTGAATATAACGGTGAGGCACCGCCTTTCCCACCGGCATCGAGCTCATTGGTCTGCATGTGCCAGCGGCCTCACGGGCTGGCATTATCTCTTCAGGAGCTCCGCCGCAGGCCGGCCCCCCGGCCGGGGACAGCCCGCTGCAGCCAGCGGTGCCGCAGCCCCCTCAGCAGCTCCGGCGGCCGTTCCCTCAGGAGGAGCCGTGGCCACAGGAGGAGCCGTGGCCACAGGAGGAGCCGCCGCTCCCACTCACCGCCCCGCCGGCCCGGTTCGATCCCCGGTACAGCACCACCACCTCCGCCGCGGGACAAACGGCTCCATCCGCTTCCGCCGCCGCGCGCCCCGCTGCCTGCTGGGAGTTGTAGTCCGGGCTCTGGGCCCGCGCCGCGCTCCGGGAGCTGGAGGTGCTGCTCGTAGACGTTTTCTTGATGACTGTTGTAGCTGTTATAAATGGAAATTCATCCAGACAAATTAAAAATACAAATAAAAGGATTTCATTTTGCAATCAGATTCTGTCTAGCCAGCCACAAGGAAAAGAACAGAGCCGAGCCCGGGGTCGGCGCTGGGTATGCAACAGAGAAGACAGCCTCAGCAGAGGTTTTCCTCTGTGCCCACACCACCATTCTGGTACAAGTGGTTTTTATAGGGAAAATTTTGCCTGAGGCCAGGATTTCGGCAAACAGTCCTTCCTTCTATTCAGAGTCCCATAGTTCGATGAGATTGCTATTCTTGGCGACGAGGTAGAACAATTCGATGTCCAGAGTTGTTAAATTTACGGGAGCCCTGCATTCACATGGATCTATCCGGAGGATTTCCATGATATCCATCATGGGTCGTTCACGCGATGATCAGCACCTGGGTATCCCCGTATTGCTTCAGATACGCCCATCTACAGAGAGTCACATCCTTTTAAGTGTAGATCGGGTTTCAACATAACACCAGGTTTTGCCTGCGAGGGTGGGGGCGACTCCTAATACAAACGTGTATACTCCAACAAATATTCAATATAACTTATATCATACTAGAAATGGCACGAATTATGTCTACTACACATAACACATGCTGGGTTATTTACAGAACAGCAGTCCAGAAAAGCAGTAAGTGGTTCCTTCGAAAGTAATTTTAGTGATATTAATGAAAGGAAAGCTAATTCTATAAAAATATTAGAAAAAGCTTTCTAAGATTGCAATCAGATGCACCTGCACAGGGTATACTGGGTTTGGTATTGCTATTAATTTGCTATTCAACATTAAAAGTGTTTCACTATGGGGCAGGTGTTGGGAGGAAGCGGGCTGAAATTCGTGCTCACTGGCCTGCGACCTGAGTGGGCGGCTGCCTCCTGAAATTCTGAACGGTCTTCTGGACCCAACCAGCCTCCACCCCAAACGTGGGCTGCCTAGACAGTCCCAAGGGCATCTTGCAAACTGACATCAGGAACCTGGTGTGGTGAGTTTAGTTTGATAGGGAAAAGGGCTGAGGTTCGTCATCAGGATCACAATTCGCTGAGTGGACGGTCACATCCTGAAATTCTGAACGGCACAGGATGTGTCCCAGGCCCAAAGTGCCACCACCTCGAACTCATGGTTACCTTGACAGTCCCAAGCACATCCTGCAAACTGACATCAGGAACCTGGGGTGGTGAGTGGTGGAGTTCATTTCTCCAAAATTAAAGGTGGTAGACACTAGGACCATGCATGCTTTTAGCGGCTCCAAACGCCACCTCTGAGCTGGTAGCCAGACCCTGGTGAAATGGCTTCTTTTTCCCATGGAACATGGCCTCTCTTTTTGGCCACTGGTGCTAAAGGATAGGGGGGTGGCAAACTAATAAATTTGCAAATTTTGCTGAATTTCTCCAAAACTGAAGCTGAAGCAACTAGGACCAAACATTCCCTTATATCCCCAAAGGCTACCTCTGAGCTGATACCCAGACCCTGGGGAAATGACTTCATTTTTCCATGGAAAATGGCCACTGTTTGCGGCCACTCACCTTGACCGACAGTTGCACTTCAACCTAAATACTTGTATATATCTCTTTATTTCTCCAATATGAAAGGTACCATTAGTTAGGACCCTGCATGTACTTAGAGCCCTGCATTCCCTTACAGCCCCAATGCCACCTCTGAGCTGATACCCAGACCCTGGGGAAATGACTTCTTTATCCATGGAAAATGGCCCTCCATTTGTGGCCACTCGCTCAGGCCATCACTTGTTTGTCATTTGTCAACTCCCTGCTTCCTTGTATTCTGGTTTCTCCTTACAGCATGAAATGCTTCACTTCTGTTTGTGTACGTAGAATATATATTCATAGAAATCTACATCCACAGGTCTTTTTTCCACAGAGATTTGAATAAGGTTCAGTTATATTTACATGTTTTATGTTTAAATTAATCTGTATTCTGCCCATTTCTGAATCATTTTATAATAGTTCTCCTTAGTTACCAGAAACAAAACCTTTATAGTTATACACAGATAGCATTGCATTAATTGTAGTTACATTTAAGCCTTTTGCAATTAAAGATATTTAATCCCAAATGCTAAGAAGAAGTCTTTGGAGACGATTAATTTTAAAAATTGTTTACACTTTTAAATAGGATCTGAGGATGCTAACTTTCAAGCCTGAGAAAACCATCTCACTTTTTATTTAAATTAAACTTTCATGGACTTAAAATCCAATTTAAATAATCATGACAAAAATGCTCCTTGTTTTGGGAGAAATGCATGCATTAAAAGGCATACTGATTGAACTCAATGTAGTTTTAATGGAAACAGGTAAACACTTGATTAATGGCCAGTAAAAATCTGTTTTCATTTACATAAAAACTCATCTTCTCTTTGAACCCAAGGTCTAGCTCATTTAACTTTAGGTTGCTTGACATAAATAATTTTAGTATTGTTATACCACTGCTAATGACTTTCAGCAGAATCTCATCACATTCTGACACAGCGTTTATAACTTCGATGTTAAAAACGTTAAATACTAAAGGATAAAGAAGATTTTCTTTTGCTACATATTTAATTTTTGAACTGTTAGTGCTATACTGTCAGTAATTGTTTTCTTGACATTCTTGGTTCTGAAATATCTCTTACTTTATCAGCAAGCCTGGTTTAACACATGAGATTTGCAGATAACAGATATCCAGTAATAATGAATTCAGTATGCTGCTCTCAGTCACAGCCATGCAGCGAGTGAACAATGTCAGCCAGTGAGGAGTCACCTGTGTGTGTGTGTGAACACTGACAGTGCCAGTCACAGCTGTCATTAATTTGCTGCTTGTAGCAGAAATAACCTGACACCCCAAGAAAATGATTTGGCAAAAAGGAAACACTTCAGAGTCATCACTCAGAGCTCCAGCAGAGCAGAGCTGACAGGGAAAACAGTTTGCTGTTGTTGTTTTTGTTTCTTTGTTTTTAAACCGAGCACTTGTGCAGTGGCATCTTTCAGTTTAGGACTCTGGATATATCAAACAGAACAATAAGTTTTAGCATCAGCTATCAAATTCTTATTTAACATGTAAGGTTCAAAATTCAGCAACGAGGCAAATCTTCCATTTTGTCGGAAATCAATATCTAATTTACCTTAGCAGTACTTCAGAAGCATAGGAAGTTATCACTAAAGTGGGCATCTGTGCTAGCTCAGTCACAACTTATAACTCAAAAATCTATTTTAAAGACATGTTATGCAGTGTAAAATATTACACACAAATGAGCTCGAACAACAGGAATATGTTTCATTAGCAGCTCTCATCTTAGAAAGATCATCTTGTCTATACATTAACTCCACTGCCCTTTGTGCAAATGAATTTAGATCCCCTGTGCTCTGGGTCAGGGAAGTACCAAGGCCTTAACAACAGGCCCAAGCCAAAGCTGACCGCTAGATGAACCTTCCAACTAAATGTTATATACATAGCTGTTTTATATGAAACTCATGAACAAAGTTATATGTGTTCATTTACTGGCAAAACATGTTCACCTTTCTGAATCTAGAAACGGGATAAGGCCACATCCAGCCTAATTAGGAGGTATAGGATCAAAGACAACTCCCTTGAATCCTCCTTGAGCCCTGGCCAGGCTTTGGGAGAAAGTTGACAGGGAAATGAAATTAGAAATGATGTCAGCTGTTTTGTTTAGCACTGTGAAAGCTGGACCACTGTCACAGCAAAGTGGGGGAGCCTCGTGGCCTGCAAAGGAGGAGGCACTGCAGGAGCTGCAGTTCCTGGCATGGTTCTCCAGCCCTTGGCAGATCAGCTTTCCCCCAGAGCTGATGTCTCTTTGGCTTGGATGATGTATCAACCCTGGGGTAACTGGTGATTTATCTTTCGTAACCACTATAGGCATTCTTTCCTAGCAATAATTAGCATTGCTTAGCTTGTCCCTTTGTAATTCTTTGCTCATGGTTAGGTGCCTTGCCTAGCTTATCCTTTTGTGATTCTTTGCAGTTTTACATCATAGTATATGCCACTATTACTTTAAGTTGGTGTCTGTGTCTCTGACTCTACCCGCTGGCAAAAGTCACACATACATTTTCCACTCAAAATAAACATTTCTGTTTGTTTCATTGTAGTGTGAAAATTAGGTTTATTACTCAGCAGTCAGCATTTTAAAGATCTAATGATTTGTTACATTTAATTTTTTCACACATCCTAAAGTCATGTGACTGCAATTGACCATAGAAAAATCTATCAGTAGCTTCAAAATAGATTTTCAACTGCTTAGTAGTTTTTTTTCTTCTACCTATCACCAGTTATTTCAATAATGTAATCTCAGTTAAAATAAAATAATCTTGACTCTCCAAATTAATTTTATGAATACCTGGAGAGGAACTTACAGATTTTCTGTATTTTTTGTTTAGGGATGTATTCTCTTGAAAATATAAATTCATAACCAGCATAAGCCACAAGGTGACACTTTAGGACTACTGGAAAGAGATTATCATCATGACAAAATAAATAATTTTGACACTGGAATGAACTGGGCCAATTATGAAGTACACAGCAAGTGTGAAATTGGTCTCAGTCTTTTCTGAAGGGGATTGATTTCTTGGCTGAAAAGAGGCAGGCAGCCAAGTGCTTTATTGACCCACAAGAAGAAAGCAACTCAGAAATTTTTCATTGAGGGGTCTGCTTTCCTGTTGTCAAAGCCATAAACCAGTTTTATTTATGGGGATGCAAAGCAAATCAGAACAGTGTGCATAACTTGAAAATCTAGCATATTCAAGGAGAGCACTCCCAAACTTGGCACTTAGAGAAGTGGCAACGTGAAATAAATGTGTGTACAGCTGGAAATCAACTATACATTCAGCAAGTCTATAGATCAC